TGCGGAGATAGACCTTTTTTTGGTAGAGGTAGAATGAAAAGGGAAAAGAAGAAAGAAAAATATTTCTTTTTTGGGGGGTTGCTCTCCCCCTCACCCCGGCTGGCTGGCCAGACTCTCCTTGCAATTGTGCGCCCTTTTACTGGTCGAATCCGTGACAGCTGTCAGGTAGTACGTAGCACCACCACCCAGATGGAATGATCTTATACGGACTATCACTCTGATGAGGAGGCCATTGTGCCTATGCGATCAACCCCCTCCCCAGCTCCTACTGTGCCAAATCCCCGGAGCCGTTAATCCGTCACCGATCCATCTTTTGTCTGCTTCCGTGATAGATTGGCAAGTCAGGGCCCTTGCAAAGCAGATGCGATTCCTACCCTTCAAAGTTTCTCAAGGTTCAATTGTTCACTTCCCCTCCCTCGGCATCTAGGGGAGGGGTTTATTTCCTGATGATCCTGGTCCTGTCAGATGTCCATCTGTCGGTCGTCTGTTCCCATAGGCAAGGGTGACTGACAGGCCACGGACACACGGCACCCGCGTTTGCGAGTCCACCCTTTTTAACCAGAAAAGGGCCGTTGGGCGAGGGACTAGTGGATTAGTACCGAGTCGATGCCTGCGTATGGGGACGGTCAATACAGAGATGAATGGCACGCTGTGCGGCGTTTACGGAACAGAGTAAGGTACGTTCAATGATTTTAAGTAATCAGTAGTACAGTCTGCGTGTGGGTGGGCTTCGTAGGCCTCCTTTCTTGGTTTTTCCCCCCCCCCTTCTTCTTCTTTACTCTATCAACTTCTTCAACACACATACACACTACTGTGTAATAGTAGTAGTTATAGTACACACCCACCTCGGCGCAGACCCTGTATAAAGTCCACGTACGCCCGCGGAAATAAAATCCAGGTCCCGAATGACAAGGGCGGCGGGGTCAGACGCAACGCCCGCTCTTCTGCAGTGTGTAGTTGACCGAGCTCGCCGAGACTCCCCTGCGCGCAAAGAAAAAAGCATGGGAACTCAAGACGCACGCCATTGGCGGGACTTGGGACCGCGGGTAACCACTTTTGGTTTGCACACACAATAAGGAAGAAAGAGTGAGGGGTGTGTAAGAAAGCATGGGCAGGGCATGGCATGCAGGTGGTTATCCCCTCCTCCCTCACCCCCTGGGCCCCCGGCCTTGCCGTAAATGGTACTATTATACAAAGTTTCCGGAAGGTGTCCTTGCGGGCTTGCACAAAGAGGAAGACATGATCCGGATGAGGGAGTCACGAACGGCGAGGAGGAGAACTGATATCTCATGTTAAGACGGACGGACGTATGATGATGAGGAAGAATAGGAAAGGAGAGCAGAGAAAGAAAGATGGAAACAAGGTGATGGTGGTGTGTTTCCCTCGTTATCGCCAACCTCCCACCACATGCGGGCCTGAGTCAAGCCCAGAGACATAAGTACCATAGTAAAAAGGGTCTGGATGTTTGTGTGTGTGTGTGTGTGTGTGTGTGTGTGTGTGTGTGTGTGTGTTTGCGTGTGTGTGGACAGGGGATCTGGACCTGGTGAGAGGCTCTGGAACAGGACATCGGAGGAAATGGGAAGAGGCATGTCCTATCTCATCATGTCAAAACTTGCCCTTTTGGTCGTTTGTCCTCCCCCGCCTGCACTTCTTTCCTTCTCCAAGATCGATCGGGGCGTCCGACATGGTTATGTCCCGTCCCACCCGCCATTGCCTGTTATCCCAATATTTTTAGACACGATGACGCCGTCTCTTTGAGATCCCAGTTTTTATCCGACCACATATATATGTTGTCGCTTCGTGAGTACGAAGACTCAATCTTCATCTTGAAAGCCTCCTCGTCCTTGGGTGTATTCCTCTACGGGATTTCGCAGAGACAACACAGTCCGAAAAGGGAAGAAGCAGAAAGAGAAAAAGGCGTGACAAGCTAGGTTCAACTCCTTCGGGTGGGAAGGTAGCAGAGGAAGTAGAGGGTGTGTGTGTGTGGTGTACACACACACCACACCCACCACACACATACACACACGCACTGTTAGTTGCTTGTGACTGGTCACTGCAGCTGATCCCCAGGTACCGGCTTGTACCTGTCTCAGATGGGAGGGAGGGGACTGGAGATGCACGACGGCCGTGGTGAGGCTGGCGGGCTGGTCGGGGTGGACGAAACGATCTGCGGTCGCTCACCTCATCAGCCCGACAACTCCTTTCTCTTTTGACAGGTTTGGGCGGCGGGTGGCCCTGTGGTGTCAAACGAGAGAAACAATAGCCGTGCGACGATGTTCTCAAGAACTCTCCTTCTAGGCGAGCGAGGATCGACAGGTGATGTGGCACAACAATTAGGGTATTTCCTTCTTTCTCACACATCATTAGGAGGACCCTGGGAAAGATGGTCGAGTGATTTTTTTTTGATTTTTTTTTTTTAATTCGTCTATTTTTCTGATCCCATCTGCCGGGTGGCCACGCGGTGTGCAGGCAAGGGTCAGTCCGATCCAAGCTCTGTGTGAACTATCCTCCTCCGGCTTCCCACCTCTCGTCTCGTCTCGACAAGCGAGACCTCGGAGCTCGAGTCCCCCTTTGTCCTCGCCTCTTTATTCCGAACATCGATTGAGGCCTTTTCTGGGATGAAATGGGGGAACAACAGAAAAAAAAATCGAATCAAGCCTCGCTCGCTACTTGGCGTCCTCGAGGGCACACACACCAAAAGAAAAGGGAAAAACGCCCCTATCACATGTGTTCCAGTCTGGTGATCAAAAGCCATTTCAGCCTCGAGATCAGGTCCAGAAAGCCACGGCTGGAGTCACTGTACTGTACTGTACTGTACTGTACGGCACTGTATCGAGGTAGTATCCACTCCTCCCCCACCCACAAAGAGCGAATCCAGCTGGGGTGCTCCCGGGGCGGGCTTCTCCAACAAAAGAACGACCTCGATCGCCCACTGCAGCTCGGCCGATAAGTAGAGGCAGAAGGCAGGAAAAAGAGAGACCCACAGCGCTGTCGTGCAGGGCCAGCCCCCGTCCCGCGCCATACGGACGGCACAAGCGAAAGGGCCATCCCGTCCTTTCCATGCTTGACGACTGCCCCTTCCTTACATATACTGTAACAAGGGTTGGGCATAATGTTAAGTATGTACTGTAAGAAGAACACAGATACGGATGAAAGCGGGGCGGAGGGCGTGTGCTATTTGCCCTGAAACGCTATAAACAAAGATCTGGGTTTCTTTTGTCTTTCTCTGTTTTCTTTTTCGACAGCGTGTAATCCCGCAACTCATATCACATCCCCAAACAATACGCGGGGTACGAGATCTGAGGCGTCTGTACGGTAGGGGAAGGGAAGGAGAAAGGGATTGGGGGGCAAATTTACCCACGTCACTCTGAAATCCATGGCAGCAGGGGGGGGGGGCCAGCCAGTGCCAGCCTCGCAGTAATAATCACGATTATCCTTACTACTATATACTGTAGGTACAGCACGTGGCGGGCCGTGGCGCCGCTAGACCTTGTTTTGAAACGCCGCATATTTATAATATGAATCAGAACCACAGGTATATGCGTACACTTAAAACAACTCACATACTCTTTGTACTGTACAGTAGGCAATATCTTCATGTGACCCCCTCCGAGAGAGCTTGTGGCGGAAGCCAGGGAAAGAGGGATGCAGCCTGCCATACAAGTGTAGTGAGTGGCTGTGCGGGCAAGAAGGAAGAAAAAAAGATGATACTTTCCCCTCTTGTCCACGCCCAACCAGCTGGAAATCAGGGGGACGATCCGTCCTGCAAGCCATTACGTCGTAGCGGAAGCTGGCCTTGACAAATTTCAAACTAATGTGCATTTAGAATGAGTAGCAAATGCTCAAAGCTCAGGATCGATCAGCATCAAGAAGTCCGTGGCATGCGGCTGAAACAAGACCGCTCTGTTGATCCTCATATGCCGTTGCTTATGCAGGCGGGCTCAGTTTACGCGGTGACTGACGACGACCGGAAACATGGATATGAGGCAATGTGAGGGCGGTGGTGTGTGGTGGAGCTTATTTATGGACGAACACATCTACGCACACACACACACACACACACACACACAACTATATTCCAATGCTGCGGTGGATGAGTGAAGAGCAAGGTTTTGCTGGGTCATGTTTCTGATTAAGGATAACCATCTTGGAAAATCAGCTGTTTGCATGATTCTCAGCGGATGTCTAGCGCCCTTGTCCACAACTGGGCCTCAACCCGGCTTCGACAGCCGAGACGAATCTCTCGCCGTGAAAGAAAGACAAAGAGAAAGAAGAAGAAACTCTCTCAGATCCTTATAGCAAGAACATAGAAGGCGCACGCATAGTTATTTACCCTTTTCTCAAAAGGCTCTCCTGGGCTGAAGGGTATATGAACGGCAGCCTATCCTCATCGATCGACCACCAGGACCAAACACCCCAATCTGGAAAGCCATGCCTGGTCTGAACCGGTTCATCCTCTGCTCTGGAACCTTACGAACTCCGTTACATCGCGTCGTTCGGGAAACCCGTTTCCCCCCTCACGGTGCAGTATTTGCAGGCTCATGGACAACGATGGAGGTCGTCAGCCCCAGTGCACTGGACACTGGGGATGGTCTGCCCCCGCAGTCAGTCGTCTGTGAACATGTTCCCGGCTAGTCGGGTAAGACCAAGACGTCAGGATGTCCAAGATTTGACTTACGTGGTCCGGTACAGCTTGGACCGTTCCTCTGCAGGTCTCGCCCCCCCCCCCCCCCAGGTGTTGGTCCCCACAGCGTAGTCATGGGGCTGGCGGGACAGAAACAAGGTGAGGGGGGAGAGAGACATTGTTGACTCTTGAGAGTTGATCATGACGATGCCTGATATGATTGTGTGGTAGGTTGTTTGTGGCGGAAATCCTTCAAGTATCAGCTGGACTTTTCATATTGGGCAAACCGTACAGACCAGGAGCATGATCAGCAACATATCTTTTTCCTTGGAGAGTCGAACAGCAGCATAGGATATCGAGAAGGAACCCTTTAGGCATGGATCAGGTTGTCTCTGGAGTTCTATTCGGGAAGCCTAGAGGTATGAGGCAGACGGCCTCGCGCAAACATGCTATGAAGTAAATTATCTAAACTCCTCTCACTTGTCTGCAGTGTTTATGTTTGATCTCGAGCATACTCTCTCTACCAATAACAATTACTTGCATGTCAAATCAAAAGGGCTGATATGAACATCTGATAGGCTTCCCCCCTGAAGGGGTGGGGTGCTTGTTTGCTAGATGGCAGCCAACAAAGGGCTTGCCGAGAGACCAAGCACCAAGCCAAGTGACAGGCACAAACGTATAGTCTCAATAGTGATGCTGGCGCAGGTATGCAATATAAATGGCAGTCAAATTTACCAGCATGCCTTGTGAAGTCCATAGGCATCAGTCACTTTTCAACCAAACCCAACAGTCAACCGAACAGTCCAGACTTCACTCGTGACCTAGCGATGCACCCACATTTGAGACCATTCGCAAAGCAGCAGAAGCAGCAGCATAAAACACTATCCAAAGCAGCGCTGCTTGAAGAGCTCATGGATCGCAAAAGCCGCTTCGACCCCCGACTCTTCTGGCATGTCGCCTCCGTAATGCCCTGGCATCCGCTCTACGGCTTTCCACCTCAAACTCCCTTCACGGTCGCCCCTGGTTGGGAGCAAGAACCTCGGCAGACCTTTTGGCCACCGGCTAGCACTTCTCTCCAACAGACGATGTCGCAAGAGAGCCAAGCCGATGGTTGGCCTAGCCCTCATACCACTCCTCCTGCACAAGGCTCATGGGACGTACGAGTCGACGCTGCAGGAAATGACAACGACCCTAGCGTTGGCTCCGTGGCTGAACACAATTCCACCAGATGTTATTCCCACTCAACAGGTGTTGTTCCCACCGCTGTGGTGCTCCAGAACTGGTCACGACTCCTCCAGGACGCCCTTCAGTTCTTTGAAGAGTGCGCCCAACAGCATCGCACCGATGTCGAGAATCTAGCCTATCTGGATGTGGATTGCCGCAACAAGCTGTGGAGCAGTCTGATGGCCTCACGGCTCAAGGATAGCGAGTTGCATAAGCATCTGTTCTTGAATCTGGCGCTCGACGTTGAGGGTCACGTCCAGCAGGCTTTGCGATCTGCCGAAGCGGGCATGGAGAGTGAGTCTGACGATCAAAACAAGTATGAAAAGAGCCAAAAAGCCGCTCACGAGCTGAGAATCCTGGGGGCGAGATCACGAAGGGTCACCGAGCTCCATGCGGGGGCATCAGCAAGCTTCAACAAGTTCAATGCCATGGTGGGCGAGATGACTATGATGGTGGAAGGCATGAAGATACTGGAGGGCGACGACGGCGATCCCCCTGAGGGATAAGGGGACAGGACGCCCAGGTCTTATTTCTCAAGAGAAGTAGTGGTGGTAGCTGTGGCGGCGGTGATGGACGTTGAGATGTGGAGAGATCACTTGAGAAGGGCACTGAAGGGAAGAGCCTGAGGTGTGAGATAGCGATTGGCGGGTATTGTGATGGCGTTTCTCAGATCACTCTGCCGGTTCGGTCAGACTCCATCCTGCCGGACGGTCATGAGTTGGTTGGTTGACAGCGAATATTTCTTCCCTTGATATTCAAATCTTGGCAACGGCCTTCAGCATATTCTTTGGTAACGCCGTGTCCTTGCGGCAAGACAACTCTTTCGCAAATTTACGGCAGTCTCCTCATGCCTCGATCCCAAACGCTTCACCTTGGAGACTGTCAGCACGCCGTGACTCGAGGCAGTGAAATCATACAACTGTCAATACCGTCAGCTGGCGAGACCTGCCGCTGAAATTTGAGAGATCCATGACCACCAGAAAGTGCTCGAATGCGTACTTGTTCATGGGTTACCATTAAACTCTGGTAGTCATTAAATGCTCATTGAACAACACCCAAGGGGTCAAGGTCTATGCATAGTTGCTCATGAAGACGCTAAGACCGCCAGGCCATGGAGAAGAAAAAGAGAAGGGAAAGAAAAGCAAGAGGAAAGAGAGGGTAGGGAGTGGTTGTTGATCAAGGCCAGATCGAATAAAGTTGTCATTGATTGTGAAGTCGAGCCGGAGATCGACAGGAGTTCACGAGAAAAAAGGACGCAGGAACCAGGCCAGGACTTTTTGTGAAAGCCTTGTTCCTGTCAACAGGCGGAGTTATCCGTTCTGAATGTCGTGTATTGGAATCGAGTATTTAGGTGCATGTGCAAAACCAAAGGATAAATGAAAATGTTTTGCATTCGTAACGAGCTAATAGCGAACTGCATGCGTAATGACTTGTATATGAACAAACGGCGAGATTGACAAAAGGTGTTCGCGTTGAAGTAGCAGCAAAAGAGAGCCTTCAAGAACCAAGAAATGGCCAATAGTCGCTTGGTAAATGCTTGGTAGTCTGCGAGAAGAACACACACCAACTGTGGAGAGAGCACAACACGTAAGGTAGAGGCTGGTCGAAGACGGGCTGCTCAGGCCCTCCACACCGCATCACAGGTCGTTGAACATTGTTAGTAGTATCCTTCTTCGAGTTAATGAGTTTAGACCACTGACCTTTAAAAAAAAAAAGGTTGAAGCGCCACCGCCCAGAGAATGATCGGAATTGAATGATGAAGTCTTCCTCCCACAAGGGAAGGTCGACGACACGCCACCCATTGCGCTTCAGCTTGTCATTGCAAGCAATCCCGGCAGTGACCCTCCCAGAGGAACGACTGGACTGGAGCTCCGCGTGAACAGAGACAGCCAGCGTCCTGCATTTCTGATGCCAACTGCGGAGGTGGGATCACCTCGTGCCGTCACCGGCAGGACCGTCAACATTCGGCGCCCACCCGAGGGCAGACGCTGAGTGATCAGGCGGCCAAGCAAGGCCTGGCCTTTGGGACATACTCCGAATTTCTCACATGCCAGGTTGACGCCGCGAAGGGTCGAGAGATGTGCTTGCGCAGATCTCTCCGTTTGTAGCATAGAAGGGTAGCGTTGAGGGCGGTGACGCTTGAAGGGGAAAAAAAAGAAGAGAAGAGAAAACAGAGACAAGCAAAAAGTCGCGTCTTGAATTTTGATGTTGGAGTCATAAATCGGTGTGCCTGCGGCTCAAGCTTTCACAGCCAATCAGAATGCCTGGTGACGCCTGCTAGGTGGCGTACTGACAGGGGTCACCCAGCTTGGAAGTATGGTCCCTCTTGGTGATAAGATAACAAAAATCGCTGGTCAGGCTGCCCCGGTTTCCCCAGATTCATCTAGAAATAGATACGCTTTGCCATCCTGACAACGTTCGTTCCTCTTTAGAATTTTCATCAAACTTACACTTACCTAGGTCGCCTTCACTCACACCAAAGATGCCTGTGTTTTCGAAGCACTGCCGTTGACGGTAGTGCGCGGTGTTATCACTCTTGTTCATTGTGTTTTTTCTTTCTTCTTTTTGTCTGGCTCACTCCGCCTTGATCATTCTAGTTTCACTGTGAAGTCGAAAAGCCAGTCATGGCCGTATCTGCTTTCGACTTGCCTCAGGTCTGGCAGAAGCCTGCCGCAGGTGAACTCATCGAGTCCCTCCAACAACTCCGCGTCGATCCTCCTATATGGAATCTCAAGGTCTCTCGGGCTGAAGTTCTCAAGCAGCAAGACATCACAGGGCAGCATCGAAGGGAAGTTGCGGCTTACTTGTCCACAATCATCAAGAGCGAGCTGGCGTGGATAGATGATGAGGAGGACAGGGAGGCTGTCTGGACGGAGGCTAGCAAACGGTTCTCAGAACGCTGCGGACGGAGCGGTAAGGCTCAACCACTTTCTTCAGGGTTGTTCGTGGAGGACCACTTACTTACCCTGCTTGTCTTAGCCATGGGCGAGATCACCCGACGGTGGCCCTTCGAGGGAGGCGGGTACGAGGCCTTTGACCTCATCGTTAGGGAACCTCCTCTGACTGGTGACAACCTCGGACTGAAGACGTGGGGCTCGTCTTATGTGCTTGCACAAATGTTACACACCGTCAGCGAGACTTCCTTGTCACATCTGCTCGGCAACAAGGTCAGCCAGGCTAGGCCATCAGTCTTGGAGCTTGGGTCGGGGACAGGTCTTCTCGGGCTGGCGGCTGCAGCAATCTGGAGAACACATGTCATCCTTAGCGATCTCCAGGAAATCATGCCCAATTTGGCTCATAATGTCGGTCAGAATCGTGACATGATACAAGAGCGGGGTGGCAGTCTGGATGCAGGTGCTCTGACCTGGGGTGGAGATGAAGACGAAGTTGATCCTGTTCTGTTCGATGCCAAGAACCATTTCAAGATCATCATCGTTGCTGACCCGCTCTACGACGATGAGCACCCCGGTCTCCTGGCTGGTGCTATTGATGAGCAGCTTGCTTTTGACGCAGACGCCAGGGTCATGGTCATGGTCCCTCAGCGCGATGCCGTCACAATTAAGCTTCTCTCGTCCTTCAGAACAGAGATGGCCTCGAAGTCGACACCGCTCGTCTGCTTAGAGGAGAGCGTTGTTGCGGGTCAAGATGATTGGGGTGGTGACGAGGACGAAGAAGCAAGCCACGTCAAATGTTGGTTAGGTGTGTTTGGAAGAAGCTTGGAACTGTGATGTACAAACATCCTACATTTCTACCATTGTCAAGCTGTAGATGTACTTAGTAGTATGAACCACACTTCTGCAGGTCAACGAATATACCAATTGCCAAAATGCTCAGAGCGATGCACAAAGGCCGTAGGCGTCGTCGACACTAATGTCACTCAGGAATACGCATCGTTCATATTGTCCCAATGGAGGACTTGCCTAGATTTTGTGGGCACGTGTACCGCGACGCGTTCATCAACAGCATCATCTTCGCAAGAAAGCACATCACCCCCCTTAAGAATAAAAGCTAGAGAATCGTAAATGCTAGATAAAAAACCAGGACGTTTGTTGGAATGATAACTATAACAGCAGCACCCATCAAGAGGAAAAAGAAGGAAAAAAAAGTGCAAAAATGAATCAAAGGCTCCTAGAGGCTAGGATTGAACATACAGCTGCTTATAATGGCTATTGCAGCCAGGGGACTGTATCTTATAATGCAGTGGGATTTGGAGTTAACCACCTCGACCGCTGCACTACGTGCACGGCCCTTGATTCCTAAGTGACAGGACAATTGTTGAACTGACTTATCTAGGAAGCTATCGCTCAACCTGCTGTATCTGCAGCTTCGAAACAATTTGGACGAGGCGAGGCACCCCCAGCCCGCCCTTGGCCCCTCTGCTGCAACATCGAATCATCAAATTGCCGCCTGTCCCCCATTGCAGTTATGCCTATATGTTAAACCATGATCCCCTATTCCTGGCAAAAACACTTTTGATATTGAATTCTAGACTGAAGTTGGCTGACTCGAGGCAACCAACGGCCTCTCATGGCGCATCCTCGAAATGCTCAGCCTCATTACCCAGCTTGCCCCCATTATCTACCCCCCGTCTGGAACTCAGCGCTGCCAGGTGTTGTTCCCGCAGCTTCCTCGCTCGAGCACCGGAGCAGGTATCCCTCGTAGCACCGGCAACGATGTTGCCTTCAAAGAGTATGCCGACGCTCTCCAGCGGAACACCTTTCGTTTCTGGCACGCAGAACACTGCGTACACGAGCATCAGGGCACAACACGCGCCGAAGAGCAGGTAGGTGCCGAACGTGATATCCGCGAGCATAATGGGTGTGAGCTTGGCGATGACAAAGTTGAAGAGCCATTGTGTCATGAGGGAGGCTGCCATGACCAGGGAGCGCACTGAAAGGGAGGGTGAGAAGTCAGACATTGTCAAAACGTGGAGGTTTGTTGAACAAAAGGAAAATCACACACCATGATTGGGAGAGCACTCGGATGCCAAGATGAATGGTATCGGACCCCAACCAAATGAGTAGAACACAACAAAGAGATAGACGCAGATGATGGCGAAAATGTTGTTCCCCGACAGCGACTTGTCAGTGGGATGAACGGCCTGGTTGATCCCAATGTAGAACATTGCAAAGGCTTGGCCTGCAGCTCCGCAAATGAGAGACCACTAGATGGGTACGGGGCAATTGTCAGCTAACTCATGTGTACCATAATTTAAGTACTTATTGAGCATGGAGCTGTGGAAGGCAGCGTACCTTTCGTCCGGCCTGCTCAACACCAAACATCAAAGCAAGCGCGGTAAAGACCACCTTCACGACGCCATAGATACCTGTGGCAAAAAGACCTGCTGATGAGCTCGACAGGCCCACGCTTTCGAAGATTTGTCTGCAGCGGCAAATATCGGTCAGTACACTACAAAGACAAAGTGGTGACAAGTGAGGAATTGCTTACGGGCTGTAGTAGTTGATGCTATTTGTTCCGGTCCACTGTTGCCAGAACATAAGCACCACCCCGAGGCTGGCCTGGTAAAACATCTTCTTGTTCGAGCAAGCTGCCCTGGCCTGCATGCCGAGGGATAACTTCTCCTTGCCCTCAAAGTCCGCGACGATCTCATCCAGCTCCTCCCGCAGCGCAGGGTCGTCCTCCGGCACAGCACGAACATGCGACAGTGCCCGCCTGGCCTGTGAGATGCGGTTCTTCTCGACCAGCCAACGTGGAGATTCGTTCTGGAAAGAGACGAGGAGAAGCAGTAGGCCCGGTAGCATCTGCAGGGCGAAAGGGATGCGCCATTGTGCCGAGTTGTTGGGGTCAGTGATCTGTTTCGAAATGCCGTAGTTGATGAAGTAAGAGATCATGATTCCAGTGACGTTGAATAGTTGCATACTGTATGTCCCTATGTTAGTATAGCTCGTGTAGAGGGAGGGCCAGGGAGTCACAGACCATCCAATGCAGCGCCCTCGGATCTCTCGATTCGCATTCTCGCCAATATAAGTCGGCACCACAGCAGAAATGAGACCCACGCCAAAGCCACCAATGAATCGTCCGATGTAGAGCTGAGCTAGGCTCGTGGTGCCGATGGCGCAACAAGTCTGTATGATGGAGCCGGCCAGGAAGACGAGGTCGGCCAAGATGAGAGACCACTTGCGGCCGCTGTGCGGAAAGTTAATAAGAGCTCGGTATACCTAAAGAGGTCGTTCTGATAGAGGGGAAAGAGAGATAGAAAGAAAGGGCCTGACATCTTATCGCTCAGCCAGAATGAAGCTGCGGCGCCAAAGAAACAGCCTCCCTGAAGAACAGAGACGATGTTGCCCTGCAGATTGGCATACGAAGCGCTTTTGGAGTCAAGATCGAAAGAGTGTTGAAACGACTTCATGGTGAGGACTCCTCCGATGAGACCGGTATCCCAACTATTATGTCCCGTTAATGATTACCAAGATCGAGCCAGAAGAGCAAATTACAGCACAGCAGCTCACCCAAAAAGCATGCCTCCAAAGGAGGCCACAGCGGTGAGGACATAGGTCCGCCTGTGAGCCTGAATACTGCCCCAGATACTTTTGGGGGAAACCACCGCTATCGGCGACGAGTTAGACGGCATGATCAGAGGTGTCTCTTCGGTAGGGTCCCAATTCTGCGTGCTAGAACTTGAGGGTGTTGATGCCTCAGCGAGGCGAGGACGAACACTACTCATAATCCCTTCATGTGTTGATGTATAAGGGAAGAATTGAGGGTGAGCAAACAGAATCTCATCTTCAAAGATCTATTGACTTATTTCCAGCGGGAGAATAAACTCCCGATTCGAGACTCTGACTAGGCATGCTACCCAAGCATCTACTGCATGAGAGTGTCGTGCCTCGGTGGTGGCTCCGCCGAAGATGGAGTGGTGGAGGCCCTGACGTGACGGTCTCCCCCGCATCCCCAGAGCGCAGTGGGTCTGGGGGAAAATAGAGGGATTGTACTACTATGATTTCTTGGTGACGATGCTGCGCCTTGGTTTGTGAGAAGATCTGCGGCAAGAATTCTCGGCTCCAGCCATTTCAATTACTACAGTACTGCTTTTCACATTTTAGTGTGCCGCCCAGGACTTCGTTACTGAGCGACCGCAGAAATATACTTTTCATAGACCGCACGATAAGAAGCCGTTGCTACCTGTGCTGTGTTGCCTCCAGGTTCACAGACAACGCACTGGTCATCAAGCTTGCCACCCAATTGCACTCAAACGAAATGTGAGCACTGGCTATAAGTCTATGGACATTTATGCGCCATGTTGTGGATCAGTCAGCACTGTACCCCTTGAGCCCTGCCGTTTTAGGGGGCCAGTCACGCCAGTGCCTCCAGCTTTCCTGTTAGCATCGCGAGTAGAGGAGCGTAGTAGTATCGATGCTGCAATGATGATCATGCCAAGAGTTCAGTTAAGCACACATTAATTAAGTTGTTGCATGATTTCTCTTTTCACGGCGACCGAAGAATCGTTCAACTTCCAGGCTCCCTTGAGGTTTCTTCTGAGACAGGTGGACCTGCCGAGATGATAGGAATTCCGAAGCATTGCGCGCGGCGATCCCAGTTCACGATCCCACGTGTCAGTTTGAGACAACAAATTTCGGTTATGAAACTTGACGGGAACGCGACAGGAACGGGGAGTCTGATAATGGATTTATCTGCTTGCTGAGTACGTATCGAGTCTGAATTATGATGAAGGTATTACAACCAAAATAAAGGAAGCGGCTGCTCAGACCAGATCCAAAGGCAAGAAGAAGAAAAGGCAAAGGTGGCCGGCCGTATAACGTACAAGACATGCTCCCGTGCTTCCAAAATTGTTCATCAGGTCATATCATGGGCCTCATCCTCACGCGAAACGGACCTCTGTCGACCAGAACTGCACTGGCTCTACTAGATGTGCTCTGCCAAACAGCTGATGTCTCGTGCGCCAGCTTCTTTATTGTGTCTTGAAAAGAAGGATGGCGCAGTGGCCAAGGTAGAAGTATATGAAGTGCTTGGTTTCTGTCACGCTGTCAGCCCTTTTGTTCATGAGAACCAGACCTCGAGTGCTGTTCAAGCACAGGCCCATGAGGCGTAGAGGAGAAGTTTGGCAGGTAAGGCCTCAGCAGACAAGCATACCATGAGTGACAAAGCTGCCAAAGTTGCGGCCCACGATGCAGTGCCATGTGGGACCCTTCCGATCGTCGAATGTCTTCTTGATGTGTTGCGCAATGTCCTAAGATCATGCTCTTGTCAACCATCGTATGTTCTGACCTGGGGCAGAAAAGCGTATCGTCTTCGCGAGGGCCTGAGGGCACTAAGCCAAGGTTGGAGGGAATTCGGGATGTCTCGAGGGTCTTGGTTGAGGTGTACCTTCTCAATGGTGAACTTGGCCATGGCCTCCTGAGCTGTCCAGCCTTGTCAACAAATGGACGGTCTACTGCATGTACGGGAATGATTGACGAGCCCACTTACCCACTTCAACAGCCTCCTGCGACATCTCCTCCGTCTGAAAACCCAGCGTCAGCCTCAGGCAGTATCATCTCGAACAAATGAGAGCTCTCACCATATCAGCGCTCTTGATCTGAGGCACGAGCTTCTTCTCCCCAGCTCCGGGAGACGTTGGGCTTGCTTCAACCATGGCTGTAAAGGGTTCCTTGGAGTCGGTAGAGCTGAGATCGGCCATGTTAAGCAGTTGAGCAATCGAAGGAGAGGAAGACCACAGACATGCCCAGGTGACGTCGAAAAGGAAGACAGATGGGTAGAGAAACGCTCGATCAAGTGCCGGCAGACTAATGTCGTGCCAAGTCGCGAGTGGATCGAAGGGGGAAATGTCGTACCTTAGAATTGCTGGCAAGAGCACAGTACGTTCAACTGTGCATGTAACAACAGAGAGAAGTGGTGGGCGTTGTGCGTTGTTGTCAACGTCTTATTATTTATCGTAGGATCAATGTTTTGGACCAGCCTCAGCGTTGCACAAGCTAAAGCAACACCACACAAGATAGTCGAAATGACGACCCCTGAAAATGAGGCTACGTGCGGCAGGCAAAAGCAACCTTGGGTGCGGGAAGCACTTGCAGGGGAGGTCTGGCTGCCGCTCTTGCATTAAGCAGGGCTACCAATCACTTACGCCTGCTTCGCTGAAGACCCGCTGAAAAATTTCTGGCAGAACGCCTCGTCTGTCGTGGTTTTGGTACCTTCCTCGCATGCTCTTTCTCTTTCTCTCTTCCTCTCATGCCATCTGCATCAACAACCATTTTCATCCAATACTCAACTACTACGACCTGCATCACGAAGAAATGTCCGTATGACTTGCAGTTCTATAAACGCGCAATCTGTTGGTCAATTCTGCGCTGCAGCCATGGAGTCGTCGCGCCTGTTCGTCAAAAACCTGCCCCCAACTATCAATGAGTCCGACTTTCGGAAACACTTTTCGACAGGCGGTCGACAAGTTACTGATGTCAAGTTGATTGCGAAGAGGAGGATTGGCTATGTCGGCTACAAGACGCCCGAGGAGGCTGCCAAGGCCGTCAAGTACTTCAACAAGTCTTACATACGCATGTCTAAAATATCTGTCGAGCCAGCCCGGCCCATCTCAGACCCTACCCTTCCCACCCTACACAAGATCGAACATGTTGCGGGCCGGCTTCCCACGCCAGAACCCGAGCCAAAGGCGAAGAACAAGATCGAGGCGGACAGCAAGAAGAGGAAGAGAGAGGAACTGGATCCAGCCGATCCCAAACTGAGAGAGTACCTCGATGTGATGCGTCCGGGTCAGACGACTTCTAGCAAACTTGAGGGTATACTTGGGCAACCTACAGAAGAGGCGGACGTTGTATTGCCAATCGTACCTGTGGAAGCTGAGAGCGACGACGAATACGAGGAAATCCCAACTCACAAATCGAAGCGTCAGAAGGAGGATGTGCAACACACAGTGCCCTCTGCGCCTCCAGCAGCAGCAGCAGCACCCAGCTCTGCCGGTAATGATTTGCAACCAGCAGCTAAAGACGCAATGAAGGAGCCAGAGCCAGGACTAGCGGACGCCACGGATGATGACTGGTTGAGGTCACGCACAAACAGATTACTCGACCTGGTTGACCCTGATGACCCAGCAGCTCTGGCCGCGGTCGCATCGCGTCCAAGTCAACAGCCTGCCGAGCCTACTGGCATTCTGCCATCGGAAGACACCGGTATGATTGATGCCGGCGCAGAGCCGGAATCGCCTGATGAGCCAGCCACCGTGCAAATAGATGGGGACAGTGCAACAGAACAAGTCCGTCGCACAGCGAGGCTGTTCGTCCGGAACCTACCTTTCAAGGTTACTGAGGCTGAACTCCGAGACCATTTCTCCAAGTACGGCGACGTTGAAGAGGTAAGCCCCCCCTCCGTCTCCCCTTCCTCACTACTTCTTTTCGTCCTCCCATGTTGTGATGAACCCCAGATAGGGACAGCTTATGCTCAAAGCATTTGATGAGAACCTGGGTCGAGTATTTTAGTAGATGCTTCGCTCTTCTGAACATAGGGATATGGTTTTTTCTTGGTTTTTTTTTTCTTCTGCATACTCGAGAAAACAAGCTGCCGAAAGTCTCCCGCTGACTTTACTCATAGCTCCATGTTCCCGTCGCTGCTTCTGGCCAAGGTAAGGGATTTGCTCACGTTTCCTTTGCGGATCCAGAATCCGCCATCGCCGCCTTGCAGGATGTCGATGGCAAACCTTTTCAGGGTCGCCTCCTCCATGTCATTCCTGGTCAGCCCAAGAAGGATCATCAGTTGGATGAGTTTGCCATTTCACAGCTGCCGCTGAAGAAACAAAATCTCCTGCGCAAGAAGGCTCAAGCAACAACGAGTACCTTCAACTGGAATTCGTTGTACATGAACCAAGATGCCGTGCTCGCCTCAACAGCAGATCGGCTTGGCGTGTCCAAATCGGAGCTGCTCGACCCTACATCGACCGATGCTGCTGTGAAACAGGCTGTAGCCGAGACACAAATCATCACAGATACCAAGAGCTACTTTGCCACCCACGGCGTGAATCTTGACGCCTTCAAATCCCAGAAGAAGGGAGATACGGCGATTTTGGTCAAGAACTTCCCCTATGGCACTACACTCGAGGAATTGCGGAAGTTATTTGAGGAAGCCGCAGGCGGCAATGTTCTCCAGGTGCTGATGCCACCCAGTAAGACCATTGCCATCGTGCAATTCTCACAGCCAGTAGCGTGCAGAACGGCGTTTGCGAAGCTAGCCTATAGGCGTATGGGATCTTCGATCTTGTTCCTCGAGAAGGCGCCTGCAGATCTGCTCGCAGATCATCAACAACCAATCACAAACACCCAAACAGATCGCCACACTGGCGTACAGAAAGTCTCTGCTACTGATCTCTTAGAGCGGGAGGATGACGGGGAGACCGGAGAGACCGGGTCCTTATACGTCAGAAACTTGAATTTTGACACAACAACAGCTCAGTTGGCCGAGGCTTTCACGTCTTTGGACGGATTCGTCCGCGCACAAGTAAAGACAAAATTGGATCCCAAGAAGCCAGGCCAGGTGCTGAGCATGGGGTTTGGTTTTGTTCATTTCCGCTCCCAGGCACAGGCTGAGGCTGCCCTGAAGGTCATGGACGGCTATGTCCTGGATGGCCATACTCTTGGAGTCAAGGCTTCCCACAAGGGGCTTGACGCAGCCGAGGAGAGACGCCGGGAGGACAAGGCCAAAAAGGGCCAGAGAACCAAGATTGTCATCAAGAACCTGGCATTCGAGGCGTCCAAGACTGATCTTCGGCGGTTGCTCGGGACTTATGGCAAGCTCAGAGTCGTCCGCATTCCAAAGAAATTTGGCAACTCATCGTATGGGTGCTCCCTTTCCTCTCTAGACACGCGCCATTTTTAGTACTTTGCTAACGTATGTGAATAAACAGACGAGGATTCGCGTTTGCGGAGTTCGAGTCGCCACGGGATGCAGAGAACTGCATCAAGTCTCTTAAAGATACCCATTTACTTGGTCGCAGACTCGTGTTGGATTACGCTGAAGCTGAGGCGGTTGATGCAGAAGAAGAAATCGCCAAGATGCAGAAGAAGATTGGGGGCCAGGTCAACAAGGTTGCGGTCCAGAAACTCACCGGGAAGGGGGCCAGACAGAGATTTGAGATCGGGGATGAAAATGAGGACGACGCATAAGGCTGAGGTCTCTCTTGATAAACCTTTTTGGGGGCTCGTGGGTCCTACGCCAATCCCGAAATATGCTTGGACTCGAGTACTAGAGGTATTCGTTCCGTACTTGTGGGTTGTGACTCGTGTGTCTTGCTCACCATCCCTTGCTCAGCCCGCCAACCAACAAAACCCTCCCCTAACAAACAATTGGAACGTCCCTCCCTCTGCTTAATTCTCCTGCTTGGAAAATGATGTCTGTAGCTAATCTTGTTCGCATGCCTCACACGTCGGGAAAACAGGGAACCCCCCTCCGAGCCTCATCAGGGCCCTTGTCATCAACCTATCATTTCCCCTACGTTCCTTCGCATAAGATGTGTCTGTACTATACTATAGTTTTCTTCACTGGCAGATCTCACCTGCATGGCAGTACCGAGACCAGTGGCGTTTTCTAGAATTCGGCGTTGCCCAGCCCTTGAGACTATGCGTTACCTGATGAGGGCAAGCCCTACTACAGCAGCCGTCTCCCCGCAGAAGGGAGTGAACAACTTGGTGCAGATTAGGTGCACGACAAGAGGGGGTGAGGGTGTGAAGGGGTGAAGGGGAGGGGGGAGGGAGGAACTCGAATGGTCAGATGGCCTTTGTAGCAATGTTATCGTCATGGTAATGTAGAAGCCGTCTGTCTCCCTACGATAGGCAGACTGTCCAGCGGATCGAGAGGTCCACTCTCTGTGGGAGGGAGGTGAGCAGGACTATTTCTGAAATAAGTATCTTATACTCTCACACTCGCCTGCTTTCCTCGCCACGGAGGAGAAATTCCTTTCCCCCCCGCAGCCGACATTCTTTCCAGCTCCCCATTGTCATTCCTTCTTCTCTTCTTCCTTTCTTCACGTTCCTTACGCTTCGATAGCATTTTGTGGTATTGCCCGTATCACAGCAACTATTCATTCTTTACAGCAAATATCCTGACGTTTTCATGTTTTTGAATTCCTAAAGATTGAACGATAGGAAAAAGAAAGAGAAAAAAAAAAGAGGAGCGTGCATGGGCTCTGTGTGTATGCATATCTCACGAGGAATCAGCTGAAGAAAAAAAGATCTTACGCTATGGATGCTCGTCGACCTGTTTTGTCTTCTCAACCTTATCCTCCCTCCTCCGTTCCTACTACCCAGTCCCTGGCGGCGGAGTATGGTGGTGACACGACCAGCTTGATTTCGCATGATGGCGGACACACCGGCACCACTGTCCCTCCTACAACCACTTCTACCGTCGTCGGTGCCTCCACTGCTGCTTCCACCTCGGGCTCCACGTCCAGCACAGGCTGTCTGAGCGATGGCACGGTCGGAAGCACAAGCAGCACGAGGCAGCCACTCCAGGAGTCGACAGGCAATGCCCAGCACCAGCCCCAGCAGCAGCAGCAGCAGCAGCAGCAGCAACAGCAACAGCAACAGCATCATCACCACCAGCACCAGCACCACCACCACCACCAAGTCCCCTCGCTGTATCCTCCCGGCCAGTATCCCCTGCCCTCTCTCCAGCCCATCTCGAGGTCCTGCACGCCAGCCCTCTCGTCCACGCCCTCTCTTTCCATCCTGACGGGTCCCCTTCCGGCGCCGCCAATCCTAGCGTCCAACGCGCCGCCGCACCCTGCTGCAGCTGCAGCTGCAGCGTCTGCTGGGTCAGGATCGACAGCGGCGGCTTCCGGGTCGACGTCCTCGCTGAGGGTGCGGCGGTACCATGAGCTTGTGCAGAAGCGGAACCGGAACCCCATCTATGACTGTCCCGAATTTGCACAATACAGGCTCAAGCAGAAAGATAAGGACCGGCAGGTATGGCCGGACGTGCTCGAGCATGCGTTTCTAGATGGTGAGATTTTCTTGATTTTCTTTTTTCTTCCCTTGAGTCCCTCTCCCTCCCTGGATTACTTCCATCAACGGCCCCACCAGGCTCCCTCTCCCTCCCTGGCCTGCAATCTTGCCCACCAAGGGAAAAGGGGAGAGGGAGAGAGAGAGAGAGAGAGAGAGAGAGAGAGAGAGAGAGAGAGAGAGAGAGGAAGAAAGAGAGAGGCAGTTAGTATTCAGTGTATGAGATGTTAGACACACACGCACAAAACTGACAATGAAGCCACAAAGCCCTCCTGCTCATTCTCCATATGGGCCGCCGCAAGTTCTACATGGGCGGCAAGCAGCACGGCCGCAACATGATCATCTCGGAATACATCTGGCTGCGGTGGGTGGCCACATTGCCGCCGGGGACGAGCCCCAGCAAGATCTGCGAGCTCCACGGCAAGGATGGGCGCCCGCTGAACCTCCCGGATGAGCACCCGGGAAAGTATCACGACATGTACCGGAAGCGGAAGCAGGTGTCGAGCCATATCCAGGTTCTGAAAGGGTTCTTTAGACTCAACTGGGCTTGTAAGTTTTGGATCTCACCCTGTTCTCATTGTGGTCGGGATTCACTGTACGAGAGTGTCACAACGATTTGCCTTTTTTGAGGTTATGATGAGTGTATAGGGATATTGCTTGGAACTCACATAGCTTTCACTTTTTTTTTTTTTCTTTCTTCGTCTTCTTTCTGCCAAGTAACACCTTTCTCTGCCACATCGAACAAGAAACTGATCATCCACTACCTGCAGACAACTTTCTCTTCTCCAAAGGTAAGGAGGAAGGCTCCAAGGACAAAAACAAGCAGCCCGCCCCAAACAGGTGGTATAAAGAGAATACCGACCAGCGCTCCTTCAAGGGAGACCCAGTGCTTACGGCCCTGGAGCGCAAGCAACTCCCCACCGTGCGGCCCAACTATGAGTATTTCCGGCAGCTTCTGGCTATGGACACGAAAGTACAGGTTCGGCCGTCCACCTGTTGGATCTACGTCGCCAACACGTCGCTGCGCGACCAGCCCTCCTCTTCGCCGTCCCTGGTCCCTTCCAGCTGTGACACAAAGAAGTCCATCCTCACCAAGGAGGGCCTTTGTGAGGCTGAAGACGGCGGCAGCGACAGCGGTGGCGTGTACGGTACGGGCCAAGCCCACGGCACAAACACCGTCATTAACACGTACCATACGCGCAAGGGGCTCCTGTTCCGGGAGGACTTCCCCCACCGGTACGCCTTCAACAACCCTCCGGTGGGAGAGGAGAGCCCCTGGACGCAGCGCGAGCGCGAGGTGCGCAATATCCGCCACAAGCTTCTGCACGAGTACGCGTGGCCTCTCAAGCAGACCGAGTCGTCCTCGGCGCGGGAGGTCCTGGACGAATGGGAGGTGGAACACCCAGACCTACACGCCATGCTCAGCGGGGTCATGGAGCAGCACAATCTGCAGAACGCGCACGCGCTGCCGGTGAACAAGCTGTGCGACATCATCCACGTCGACGTCACGTTCGACGTCCACCGCGTACACTCCCTGCCCGAGGGCACCAGCTTCGAGTGGCCCTTCAAGATCAGCGTCGCGCAGCCCGGGCTGATGGGCCACGACTGGCGCGTGCGGACGTGGCTGGAGCGGCCCGTCGAGCTGGCGCGCAACACCTCTGGCAAGGGCGAGGTGGCCCGGGGCGAGGGCATGGTGAGGACCAAGCACGAGAAGGCCATGATGAACGAGATGACACACATGAGGGGCTGCGGCGACGACAATCCTCACTGCGATTGTCGCAACAGGCACATGAGCAGTGTGTGGCTTGTGCCGATCCCGGCCAACACCTGGGCTGAGTCGCTGGGGCTGTGTGCGCAATTCCCACGGTATCTGGTGCCCAAGAAACGAGGCTCAGGCCGCCTGCGGAGGGAGGATGAGATGCCAGAGTCGGACACCGTCACCCAGATGGACTTGATGCGGGGCACAGCCATGTTCCAGGAGCTGTGGTCCAGCGCGCCCGTGCCGGCCGGCTCGCTGGAGCAGCCTTCATGGACGCGCAGGGCGGTGATCCTGTGGACATTCAACACGATCCACTTCTTCGACAAGGACAACAACCTGTGTGAGACGCCTGCGGGCACACAGTGGCGGTTCCTGTCAGCTGTCGATCCCCTCTCTGCGGTGCACCAGGAGAGGATGCTTCTCGATGCTGCCCCTCACAACGACCGCGGCGTCATGTCACCCTCGCCTTCGTACCAACAGCTTCTCAACAGCCAGATGGCCGAGAACATGAGCGCCGTGTGGGGTCTTCCCTCGGCGGGAGGTGTCCACTCCGCTCCACCGTCTATGCCAGTGTCGCCCATGGCAGCATATGGCCCGTCCCCCATCCACGTTCATGGCAGCTTTTCCAATGGTCTCGTCACCCCTCCTGCGTCGGCCACGCTCCCCTCCACGTATGCCTTTGAGGGCGCCACCAGTCTCCTGCAGTCGCAAGGCCTCGCTGGTGAGCACATGGGCTATATGCCAGTGACCTCTGTCGATGCCAAGTCCAGTTTCGTGGCCGACAGCTTGTACACGGCCCCGTTCCTTCCAGGCACAACACATAGCACGTTTTATGACGAGGCGGATGATAATGAGAGCGACACGACCCTGCCTGGCGAGACAACTGACCTGGCCGGGTTTGGCGCCCATCAGTGGTCCAACTTGAACACCACTGCTCACAACACCAACAGCGCAGTAGCCCTGGACTGGGACAACCACGCCCTCCACAGTCTCTCCATGGTTGCCCAGGGGATGGCTGGCAGCGAATGCGACGCCAGAACGACTTCGTTTGAGGAGGATGTGCAGCAGCTGCAACAATCGTATGATCCCTTTGCTCAGCTGCGAGCCGAGGCAAGGGAGCGCAGAATGCACTCACCTGACCACTACTCGAGGCAGTATCTGCATCCGCTGCGGGAGAGCATCGAGCTGAAGAGAGCACGACAGGAAAGCGGCAGTGATCACCAGGTAGGCACCAGCAGCCAGGCACACCACGAGACTCTTGCTCCGCATCTGGGCCAGTCGGCGACTGGTTGGGACGACGATGTGGTCCACAACCACTACTCGCAGTCCCATGGCGACGATAGGCTAGTAGCAATCAGCGAGTCAAACAAGCCGCTTCAGGATTATGGATCAGTGAGCTTGAGTCCTCTGCTGAATCGCAAGAGGCGCCGAGAGGACGACGACGACGGCAGCAACAAATACGACCCGGGTCCCATGCCGAGCTATCCGCACCGCGACAACGGCAGATACATGCCGACAACCATCACTGATCGTCAGGAGGACCAGACCTGGTCGTTACAGGAGTCGCGCGGACCAGAGTAGAACAGAAAGACACACACGCACTCTCTCTCTCAGAGATTCAAGCGGAAGTCTCTGTGTACGGATGGCGATGCCGTGCTGCTATCTTACTTCGCATCCTCCTCCTCCTCCTCCTCTTTAATTCTGTGGGCCAGAAAAGGCGACGGGGACAGGTCTAGGCTGTGACAGCGTTACGGAGTTTTGGATTTATTCACTCACCAGGCAATAAACCTAGTCAGGATGTCAGGCGTTTCATGTTTTTTTCCCCTTCACATTTTCTTTCGTTTCCCCCGCAAGATATAGGAGACCGGGTCCAAAGGGACAGGCAAAATCGGCTCTGGCTAGTATTTAGGTACTGCTAGTAAGTACCCAGGGTATATCTCAAAGCTGGATCTTCTCCACGGCATGTTTTTGTCGGAAATGTGTCCCATGTTGTTATAGGTTTGAAGTCGTGATCCCTTGAGCACCAGTGCAAGGTACCCCACGATAAGCAGGCGGCAAGAGATGTGGCGTGAAACGCATTAATTGGTTCTCGAGCGGTCCATCTCATGGTTTGCGAAAAGCAGATCGTTTCTGTGTTTCCCAGGCATTTTGAGATGATCAAGTTGGTCCTCAATGTTGCGTTTGGCGAAACAAGAATTGTGGACCTGGAGTACAGTTATTGTATGAGCAAACATTTCGAGATGACTTCGCTCGCGTTACCACTTTCCCCCCACTGAGTCAGTGATGATTCCCCCCGCCCCCTTCTATTTCTTTCTTTTTAATGTTTCGAGGAGTGATCGTTACAAGGCTGGCCACCAGTAAACGTGTTCCTGTAGATCGTTCATCGCCACTTGGAATGAGGGATGCACGGCATGCCAGCGATCATCGAAGCTTGTTTCAAGTTAGGGATCGAGCGTGTGTCGTTGTAAATGGTGGGCAAGCGCGGTCCAGGTTCCCCTCCTCTTACACCTCAAGGAATATAGATAAGGGGGGCATGACAGTGGCTTGCCCCTTATCGATAGAGGCTTCATAGGTGACACACTCCTTTTTCATTGGTCTCTGCATCCGCGACCGCACAATATAAGGAGGCGTTTCAGACCAGCGATAGTTGAGGGTGTCGGCTCGGCTCATCCTTGCAAGTATTGACACACTTGCAAATACTGTGACTAGGACGCAGGATGATTGCTGCCCGGACTGCGAGGGGTAAACTTCAACAATAAAAAAAAAAGAGCGTCGTAATCAGTTTCGAGAGATTGAAACAGTCTCGTCCAGGTATACCCGGGCACAATTGGTGCCATGATCATCAGAGCCAGCAGTGTGTGCAAACGAGAGTTGCGATGACTCTTCGGCCCGCAAAACAAAGCTTATTGTTGCAAGTTGTGCAAAACGCAGTAGGGACGGGGTCGACATTTTCCAATGAAGGTGGTGTGTTGGGATGGATCTTGGGACGAAATCGCGTTTATGCCAAATGAGGTTGGCGGTGCCCAAGCGCCGACTCCAGCCATTCATTCTCTTTCAAACGAGGAAGGACGATGGCCTCAAAGTAGTAACCTTCCCGCCCCTCGCGCCTTCTGCCCAACCGAGTAAGAAGAGGAACCCGTGGTCTCATCTGCTGCTCGTGGTTGGCAGGTGGTGGCGGGTGAGTGCCGAGCCACAGCAGGCAGGCTGACCATAATCGTGGCGTGTGTTCATCAGGTCGGTGGGAACGAAGGAGAAAGAAAGAAAAAACAGGACAGGCTGGTTTCAGGTGGGCCGAAGTGCCGGCGAAGGCTTCAACGACCTCTATATTATTTCGCGCAAAAAGAGTCATCCCATGGCAGCCATGGTGGTGTGTAGTTGACTCGTAGAATTATGACTCAACGATCCATTGTACAGCGTGTACAGTTGACGACGTTGACGACTTGCGGGGTCTCGCCGCAACAGAGGCCAAAGTGCTGACAACGACTGGACGGTGATGGTCGCAGCTATAGCCGCCGGCCTCTGCGACCGTGCATGTCCCACTGGCGGCTGATCACCTGCGGGAGCTCCCTAGCGAGTAGAGATAGTCAACATGGGTTCAAGGTGTTGCAAGTAGCATCGGGAAACCCGCAAGCCACGGCGTTGTTGGTGATATGAAATGAGTGGTCCAAATGTGTCGACAAGGCAGGTGTGGGTCGTTCGACGAACCCTGCCAAGGTGCAAAACCAGTGGTTCTCGATGGCTGGCTGCCAAGGGCTGCAGGGGTCTGTGCACGGACCAGGCAGGCCAGCTCACCGTACATGAACTGGGAGATAGAGGGACGTACTTGCCAACTGGCATTACTCTGGATACTTGCCATGCAGCGCTCGAAGTCGTCTGAGAAAAGGCCATCGCCAAAAATACGTACTATGGTGCAGTTCCTATCCTGCCAAGTATCTCTCGACCCCAAAACTCGAGGCAGAGCACCCTCCACTATAGTTGATGGCATTATCGTCTGAAGTATTAAGAAAAAGAAAGAGTTTGGCGCCAAGCTTTGACCAGATCCCTGCCCCGAAACCAGAAACCAATGCAGGTGCGCAGGTGGGAGAAGCCTCTGAAGCACTGGAGCAGCTTTCCCCACAGGAGAAAGGGTCCCACAAGAAACGGCAAGCGTTTAAAAGTTAAGCCCCACGACAGGGGGGGAGGGCAGATCCTGGTCTGACGAGGGGAAAGAGCCGCCCGCCTCTTTTTCGACCTCACCTCGGATTTCGTCCTCCTTGACTTGCTTCCAAGCCACAAGGCTGTCGATCCTCTATCCTCCAGCCTCCAGGGCTGTCTCCAGAGACGTGGTCTGGACTCCCAAACCCCCACCCATTCCCACCAGCATCGATGGATAGCGGATGAGTGGATGGGAAGTCTTCCATCTCCAGACAGACACCGCAAAAACCTCCCTGTCCGTAATTTCTCCCCCCACCGCTACTATGATACACACCAAGCTTCTAGGAACCCCGGTAGGTAGGGAAGAGGCTGTTCACGGTAGGTAACATCCATCTCCCTTCTCATCTGTCTGGGTTCATCCTCAGAAATTCCTACCATGGTCCAATGGACACCCAGGAAACAGTATTGCGTGTTCAAACCGCTCGACCCTGGCGCTACAAGGGACATTGGGAGTTCCCAAGCCTGCTCCCCCGGTTTGTTGCTTCCCTGCATGTGGTGTGGCTTGTCTCGTGGTATCCTTCTCCCACCTGGCCCAGGCGTTTCCAACTAATGTCGACATGGGACGGAAGATGGTGGCCCCCCTTCCCCCTCGTCCTTGCTACCCAACAAGTGTTTTCCTGATCCACCCCACCCATCAATTGTCTAGTCACCTCTCAAATTATTTGAATCGAGGCATGTTGCCCCACTACAAGACACGCGCTCGGCCTTGTCATGATCCTAGACCCATACCTGGACCCTCTCCCATCCTGGATGCTGATCATCCCCGGCCTTCTCTCATTACATCTCAGATGCCCTCAAAACCTATCGTTCACCTGCTAGAGTGTCCACCTTGAACCATTATCTCGGATCCAGCTCGCCGACTTCTCGTCGCACTCCTGATGCTCATGTCCACCTGAGTCTACACATTTCCATGACGAGAGCCGTCCACTGTGGATCGATCTGGCTGCCGACAATCCGTACGACATCAAGCGACCCGTGGGCCGACCTTCACCGTGCATCAAGACCCGCCCCATCTCCTCTTCTCGTACTTGACCTGCAGAGTTCAGCATTTCTTTTTCTAGCTTGCCTTTCCTCACTCCTCCTCCATCCTACGTCCTACAGTACCTCAAAAGACAAACGCACAAAATCTGCCCAAGGCTTTCACCCTCCTTATTCTCCTCCTCCTACGTGACCACCACACAAGCACGTTGTGTTTGGGGCCACTGAGCCACTCTAGGACCCCACCTCCCTTCAGCCCCCTTCGATATCGACATCGACATCCAATCAGTCCCACCAAAGAAGACTTCTTTCTTGTTCCATTTCATTCAAGGGGCAGCTGAGGCTTTCTGTTGACTAGGTCTTCGTCCCAAGTCAAGCCTTCCGACCGCAAGGAAACACCTAGAATTCTGAATACTTCTCAACACTTCGCTGTGCACAATGCTACTGTGATCGAAGAGTTTTCTTCCCTTTTTATTCTTTTCTTTACTTCTTTTATCAGCCGGGCTGATCTTTCCGCGGGACGTTATTCTTGACTTTGTCTTGACGACAAACTTCCAAGTCTCTTGTTTTCTTTTTCGAACCCTCTGAACCAAAACAAAACAAAAAAAAACAATCTCTCAACCCTACTTAACAACACCTTTTACGCTCAGTTCGACTCGCCTCTCAACGACTACAATCATGAAGGGCCGCACCTTTTTACAACAGGCCTTCGCGGTCTTCGCAGCTCTTTCAGATGTGCCTACCGTAACGGCGCACTCTTGGGTGGAGCAGCTACAACGTATCGCTGCCAACGGCACCATGATCGACCCTGTTGGTTACCAGCGTGGTTTCGTTGCTCGCGACAATCCATTGTTCAAGGGCGACATCACAGACGACTTGTGGCAGCTTCCAGCCAATGCCCTGGGCCGCACGACCATCCTCAAGAACGACACCATCTGCAGCCCCCAACAGTCCACCAGCAACTACACGAGCGAGTTTACCCGACTGGTGACCGCACCAGGCGACCTCATCTCGCTGCGTCACGAGGAGAACGGCCACGTGACCCTACCGCTGAACCAGGCCAACAAGCCTCGCAACCGCGGCACCATCTACATCTACGGAACCACCAAGTCGAGGTCTGACGATACCCTCGAGGCGATCCACAAGGTGTGGAATGTGGATGGAACAGGTGGTGATGGAAGGGGTCGCCTGCTGGCGACGCGCAACTTCGATGACGGACAGTGCTACCAGGTCAACGACGGCACCATCTCTACGTCTCGTCAGAAGCAGTTCGACAAGGTCGCGTCGGACCTCGAGGGCGCCGATCTTTGGTGCCAGTCCGACATCCAGCTCCCTTCCAATATCACCGCGGGTGCCAACTACACCCTGTATTGGGTCTGGGACTGGCCCACCCTGAACAAGGCCAACGCCATGGAGGGTGAGGAAGGCGTGAATGTCACACGGCAGGAGATCTACACCTCCTGCATAGACCTGAAGATTGTGGATCCTTGCTCTGACGAGCTTGGCGATACCAAGTCTCCAGCCTGTTCCACGGGCACAAAGTCGAACATTCTCAAGTCTTTCGACAAGAGCCAGTCCTATGGATCAGCAGCCGTCCCACAGGAGCTCACGGGAAACTTTGCTGTCAGCGTTGACGAGACGGACGCTGACAGTGGCTCCAACGATGGCATGTCCGCCCCGCCCAACCTGGCAACTGTTAGCTCTGCTACCGCTACGAGCGCTGGAGCTGCCGCTGGTACGGCCACTGCCTCCACCTTTCAGACAATTACCACTGCCGCTAGTGAGACAAGCACAGCTGGTAGTGCCCAGGTGACCGTGGCTCTGAGCACGGTTACAGTCACACAGGTAAGCCAACTCACCCGCTTGCCCCGAAGAGTATTATCGAATAACAGCTGACACCAAAGCAGGGCGTGACAACAGTCACAGTGACGGCCGGTAGCACGGAGACACCCACCCTGGTCGCTGAGGCCAGCGATGGTGACCTCAGCATTCCGCGCACGCCAGGTGTGGCACCCTCAGTCCAACCCTTTGCGAGACGAAGGCGCTCGCGAATCGAGATCCTCAGCTAAGCGCCCGGACGCTGGCTCTTCTTTCTCTTTTCGTCGAGCTCACGTGAGCTCTTCACGGCTTTTTGTTCACTTTCTTCGTTTTCGTTCCTTCGCCGTCAGGCGTCGGACTTTAGGGGGCCATGTGCCACTGGATTGGGGTGGTCGGGGAAACGGTACGGATTGGGCAGGGGGATTGATTCATGACTGGTTGACGAATTTTCTCTTGGGGTTTAATTGGCATCATGGAACGGGAGCATTGATCGTCCTTTGCATGCAAGGCTGGGCCAAGGTTTTATACCCCCGATATGAAAGAGAGATGGAGATTTCCCAAGAAACTTGAGGAGGATATGGGCGGCGTTCAGGTCTCCAACGGCTGGGCTCTCTCGAGCATGTTCCGCTGGCAAACCCACCCCATATTTAATACAGAGAGTACATAAGATAGGCAACGAAACAATGCGCTGTTTTTTAGGCATCAGAATTTGTGTACCTGTGTGTTCCGTGAACCATGCCCCAGTATTTTTCCTTGTTTATCACTGTTCTCCCCCCCCCCTCTCTTTTGCCCTCTAGCGAACTCGATTTTGTCGTCTCCAGAGCTTAATCCAACCCCAACGTAGCCCTAAGAGTATTATCCGTGACAGCGCGTCTCTGAGAAAACAGATTGCAAATGAGGAAGAGGTAGGATCTCCCTCTATATTTCCAAAGCCCCCATGCACTGCACGGCCTCATGTGCGTCCTGCTCCGCTCCGCTCTACATCTCCCCACACTGGGCGACGATGACATCCAGGTCCGGCACATCCTTGCCCCTCCGGCCTGTCTTGGTCGCCTCCATCTTACGCACAACGTCCATGCCGTCGACCACACGCCCGAAGACGACGTGCTTGTTGTCGAGGAAGGGTGTGGGCACCGTGGTGATGAAGAACTGGGAGCCGTTGGTGTTGGGGCCGGCGTTCTTGTTTAGACGCTCATGGTCAGCCGGGGGTCAGTCGTCAAGATCTCCTCGCCTTTCGAGAAGGCAGAGGGTTTGTGTGTGTGTGTGTGTGTGTGTCGGGGGAGGGGAGGGGGGGGGGACGTACAGCCATTGACAACAACCCCTCCGAGTCATGCTTCCGCGTGAAGTTTTCGTCTGCGAAGCTCTTGGTGCCGTAGATGCATGTGGATCCGGTGCCGTCGCCGTGGAGATAGTCGCCGCCCTGGCACATGAACTTTGGAATCTGTTGTATTTCCCGCCTCACACCGTCCTGTCAGCGTCTTATATTCTTTTCAAGAGCACGTCCACAGGGAAGGAAGAAGTTGAACCAAAAAGAAGAATAAAAGAGAGCCGGAAGGGGGGGGGGTTGAGACTTACGATCCGGTGGAATCTCGATCCCTTGTAGCCCTGTGCTTTACCGTTGACTTTGTACTCGCCGGTGCAGAACTGACGAAAGTTTTCGGCGGTACGTGGCACGACGTCCTTGAAGAGCTCGAATGTTATGCGGCCTAGTGGCTCACCTGTTGGTAGAGGAGAGAGGAAAAGAGACGTCAGCCTGCGTTTATTCCTCGGTATGGCTCAGCTAAGCCTTCCCAGCCCCGGTACATCCTCATAAACCCCGGTCGTGCTTGGTGTTTTGGCTCCCACTCCACTCCTCCAAGCTCTTCCTCTTTCAATAAGATGCACGATCAGGAGGGGGAGGAGGGGAGGTTCTGAGATGAGGGCAGACAAAAGAGGGTTGTGAGCGTGTTACAGGCAGCAGGATTGTCTGCCGCCGACTTGCTTCATGTTCCTCGTGGCTGGGTGCTTAGACTTCCCCCGCGTAGTGGCTTGGACCGATGCTCAAAGTCCTGAGGTAGCAGCATCGTGCCATCTCCGAGTACAAACAAGATCTTCTTCCCCTCTGAGCCCGCACTGCAGGCAGAAAGAAGCGTATTGAAGAGGATAGACGATCCCTCATCATGTGAGATGGGTCCTCCTGGGCAACAAAGCAGGCAGAAGAGCCTCAACTTACCACCAAGCGTCATATCGAAAAATACACTGTCAAAAGAATGATCATCAGCACACTGCCAACTCTCTTCACAACAGCCCTGAGACATTATCTGCCATTCATCAAGCTGCTCTCTTGACCCTGCCCAACATGAATGACAGGGGAGGGGGTTAGGGTCCAGCTCGTCTCTTCTCTGTCCACCCTTCTTGCCCGACACATTCCCCTTCTTATGGGGCTCATTTTGAACTCACAGAGGGTTGCCATTCTCAGGTAGCTGTGTGGGAGGCATGTTTGCTGTCAGAGGCTCGTGTTTTGGCGTGTTGGTGTGGATAGCTATAAGCTGGGCACGAATGGCTGTTGTGTTGTTTTTCTATGCTGAAAATTCAAGTGTCGAAGGGTCTGTTCTGTAGCACTGGAGCTTCCAAGACAACAGGGGTCTGAAGTACTGCCGCCACCTTGGATCAGCACAGGACTGCTAATTAAGCCAAACTTAGAGTGAATTTTCAACATCAATTCACATGAATACTTGGCTTCAAGAGTTTATTCTTCCACAACAAACGTATGCTCTCGCTTCATAAAATAGAAAAATAATCAAGACATTTTTCTTGGCTGTTATATATGAAGAAAACCCATCCCTCCTTCATACAAGGAGAGCCGATTATGATGCATGATCAAGGTATTCTTGACGAGATGCAAGGCTTGGTCGTATTGATGCTCGCGGATGACGCATACCTACTCACAATAATTCGATTGAATACTTATTCGGCATGCAGGAAGACTGAGCTTCATTCAAAGAACCGTGTTGACTAACTGAAGCCACTATCTTCTTAGCTGCTTGAGCCTGCGCAAGGTTCAATATGCGTCTCAAGCTCGCTGCCTGCCCATGAGATCCTCTAGACACAAAGCTCCTCGAGCAACCTCATGTCGTCCTACACCAGTCTCTCAACCGGTGTGACCAGGCCCAGACCCCAAATCATCCAGCATCGAAGGAGGAATATGCACCCGAGGATGACAGGAGGGTATGATCTGCAAGGAACAACTTTTATCTCAGAGATACCCTATGATGAGATAACCAGCACAAGCTTGATAAGAACAACCACACTCCAGCAGAGAGCTTGGGACGATGTGGACCTTGGCCACCGCCGCATGAAGTCGAGTCTCCGCGATCGCCTGGAGTAGAGACCAGCCTCGAACGGGGCTTTGCAGCGTCTCCTACCGGAAGCCGGCGTCAGATGCGAGAGACGACGGGATACAGCAATGAGAAGTGAGGGGCTTGGGTGTAGACGTTGGTCGTGCGCACGATGTTCGAAGACCCAAGCATCCTAGGTTGGATCCCAACCTCTGAGCAGCAACTCAACCTGCCGAGCCGTTCGAGATCGATATCGAACCGCGTAGTCGCCCATGGTTTCTCTCCCGATGACCCAAAGAGCCAGACACTCGTCTCAGCTCACAAGACATGGTCATCGTCCCGGGTGCCTTCGGGCTTGCTTCCCAAAACTTCTCTGCGGGCAACACAAAAGGCTTCTTTTCCAGGAGGCGAAAAGAAGGGGGGAAGAAGAATCCCAGGTGCCAGGGCCAGATTGATCTGCATGTGGACAGACGTCCTATCTCGTGACACCGAGGCATCGTTACGTTAAGAAGAAGAATAGTCATCCCGACACACTTACATAAGTACACAACTACAGAAGAACTGTTTGTGTCTAGCTCATCTAGATCTAGACCTGCAGGATTGCGTACCATCGTACAGTAGCTAAAAAGGCCAGAAATACACCCTCAGGCTTTTTAAGTCAAGACAGCCGTTACAACCTTAGTGGGAAGCTTGTTTTCCCACGGCGGAGGCGATCTGCAAGCGTCTCGTGACTAGGAGGGGGGCAGGGCGGCCACATGGGCTCTCAAAATTTGAAAAAGGCAGGGGCCCAACAAAAAGAGGGAGAAAAAAAAAAAAAAAGGTGGGGGACTGCATCATGCCGTCAATAGAGAGAAATGTCGTCAGCGAGGTCATCTTTCAGCTCATAGACCCCGGGAGTCCAAAAAGATGTCGACGTGCGAGTGTGTGTGTGCGTGTGAAATGCGAGGGTGACAAAGGGCGATAGCGTCAAGGACCGCAGCCCCGGCTACGTGGTCTGCCGAGCGTCTAGGCGGTCTTTATTTTGGCACCATTAGGAACCCCACCCCTTGCCGAACGAGTAATACATCCAAGTGCATCCGTTCTCATGGCTCCCGCCACCACTGCACGACTTTGACAGAATCAGACTCGGGTAAGAGAGGACGAGATGCGGCTCCGCCGGTTACTGCGGCCCAGTCTGTCGGATGCTGCGGCCTGCGACTTGGTATGTATAGTGTGGCGCGGACCACTAGATTCGCGAGCCCTTTTCTCCAAGGCTGATTCTCTCCAGGGAATATGACAAAACAAACTAAAATGGCCTCATGATGGTACCGCGTCGTAGGATTGTCTCATTCTCTCTCTCTCTCTCTCTGTGTGTGTGTGTGTGTGTGTGTATTCTTTGATGCTTTTCGGCGGCTTTTTTCAAAAGGTCCTCAACGTAAGGCAAGTACCAACCCACGAATCGGTAGTGCGCCATTTTGGGGAAGGGAAACTCGAGGCGGCGCCCTGCTGCAGGATCCCGTCGCAGTTGTGGAAATATCTGTGCGTCAAGATGACATGTGCAACTGTCACTGCGCCCAGGTGGTGACGAATATTTGATGAATGACCCAAGGAAAAAGGACGCTACCAAGGTCGGACGATGTTCCTGGTTAAGACCATACGCTACCGTTTACTATAGATGAATCCCTCCATGCTGCTGCTGCTATGAGTGTACTATGTAAATGAACGTACTGTCGTATGGTCGTAACGTCTATCTGGAAGCGTACAGTTTGGATGCACATATCAAGGGTGGATGATGGGATATAGTATCTGTCATGCACTCTGCAGCGTTCCTCCCGAGGCTGATGAGGTTCTGGGCTTAAGTCTTGTTCAACCACGTACGACATGGAGAAAGAAAGTCTGGGTGGCAGATAGATGAAAGCGCATGAACGGCCCCCAAAACAAGCCTGCATATGGGTAGCACCAGGGCTGGTCGCGAAACCAACAGTCAGGCAGTTCAGCCCCTTTTCAGCTACACCAGAACCAGGAATCACAAAAGGCAAGCGATAGTAACCAAAGCATTTTGCGTTTTCCTTTTGTCTGTTAGGATAATCTCCGAGATCTGTACTCCGAAAGGTCGAATATAGACAATGTTGGTATATATTATCAATCATGGTTACGTAGTAATAGGCGCTTAGCGAAACGGATTGTTGTGATGACTGCTTTTTAGACATACTATGGTAGTATTATTTCCCTTGTCGTAAGGGTCCATGCGCACGAAGGTATGCCTGTCTAGCCTGTCTGCAAGAGGATGGTGCGTGGCAACGGGTGGTAGTCTATCCGGCCGGGCGGTAGGTATGACCGTCGTTGGAGCAACTGAGGAGAAAGGTATGCACAATTTGTCACCCCACCCCATGCTTACTACAGAAACGGCAGCGTTGAGGAATTTGGGAACAGTGAGAACGGTGAGAGTAAGGAGCGAGAGATAGAGAGTTGAGATGACTTACAGCATGATCGAGCGAGGCAACATCCATTTCTGTGTGGAGAGCGGTGTCAATGACGCAGTGTATTATTCCCCTGGGAGGGAAGGGAAAAACGTCTGCCCACCGTCCCTAATGAGGATCTGCTGGTACAGAGTATCGGGGCCACAAGAGGGGTGGCGAAGCAGCTTCACAATAACAGATGCAGAGACCCGGGCCGAGCTTACTCGTTGATTTGAGACCGCATCTCTGGGCGCCCTTTATCCCCAGAGTTTGAGAATCGTCCGGGGTGTCGAGGCTGAGAGGGGACCCACTCGAGATCTTGTCAACAGCCTGAGACAATGGAACTGGACTGTGCGAGAAAAGACAAGAATCCACCCACCTCGTAGGGCCACATTGCATCGTATCCTGTACGTCCTACGTAGCACCATTGCCGATGAACGAGTAAGTAAGGGCTAGTGCCGGAGATAGCATGCAGGGAGAGAGAAAGAAAGCGAGAGAAGCGTGTGCTGAGAGTGGTGCAGAGAGGGAGAGAAGGAGGAAGAAGAAAGGAAGACAAAAAGACACACGACGTCGACAATGCTCGGGTCACGATCCTTTGGGACTCGACTTCCTCACGAGCCACCAAAGAAAACACAATTACCACTGGCCAAATACTGTGCTGCCGAGACACCGCTGGTGATCAACGAGCACTGGCGTAAATCAGTCCTGGAAATGGTGATAGTGATCACTTAATCAAGTCGGCAGTACTTGTCTATTTTCTACTTAGTGACCATGGTTCTCCGGCGGGGGAGGGTACTTTGTCCCATTGTTAGATGCTGTGCTGCAGGCGAACTCCACAGCGAGTCCCCACCCCTGCCTCCATTCTCCTCAAACTTTCCAGAGGGCGGCGCCAGCCCTCCATCAGCCCTCTCTCTGTCTACTCTCTATATGTTTTTCTCGTCCTTCTTTGTTTCCTCTCCCCTGAATCCAGCCAGCACTAGTGAAAGAGATGTTGTGAACTTGAGACCTGTGTACCCCCGTCGACCCATGCGGGAACAGGGCATCGAGGTCTCACCTTTCAACTCTCGATGTTGCGGGCGGGAGACCCTTGAAGGGGTGGCCCTTGAATACAGAAAGACAGAGAGATGGATCAGGGGGGTCCCCTGTGTGCCCGCCTGTAGCCTCTAGGACTATGCACTTTGGCACTCTAGCCACCGTCAGCCGTGCTTGGGAGAAGGCCATCGGAAACAGGCAGGTGTGAAGGGAAAAAAATTCAAAAGTTAAGACGACGAAGCCAGGTCACACAGATTGTCTTTGCTCATGGGATGCATTATGCGGTTCATGCCGAGTTATCCACAGCTGCTCCACAGATTGCCCCCCTGACCCAACAATCATTCAGCCTTTTTTGAGATATGACAAGAGAAGACTATGTTCCGAGAAAGATGCATCCGTCGAGTAGTGCAAATGCAACAATTTTTCTCTTCTTCTCTTTTCCTTCTCCCTCCCCCGTGGGGTTTGTTTTCGGGGGAGTAAGTAGCGTATGTAGGCTGTGCTGTACTGAGAGAGGTTAGGCCTGGGCTCGGCGCTGGGCGCTATGTTTGAGCGATTCAACCCACTGTCTCCGACAGGCCACAGCCTGGAATTACCCTACGACGCCCACCAACCTCTACCCGCCCACCAGCCGACAAGCCTGGAACCAACCACCCCTCCCCCCCCCCCAAACCCAATCTGCTCCCGTCTCTACCGCTTGCGGCATAGCCTCTCCTCTCATTTTACGCCAATACGCCTACCACCCGGCTTGCCCACTTATCTTGGCCCCCTCTGTCCTCCCCGGTCCCATACGCCCACACACCAACTCCTCCCCCCCCCAAAGTAGAATGGCCCCCCCTCCCATCTGCTTGGAACCCGCCTGCATTCCCTCCCCTTCAATGCCCTGCCCTGCCTTGCCTTGGCATTGAAAGTCTGCCCGTCGTCCTGCCTTTCTCCACTCCACACCATAAGCCTCTCTCTCTCTCTCTCTTCCTTACATTCTCTCTTACTCCTTCTCTCTTCTCACTTTCCATTCACCTACTCATCCAACGTTACCGCCAACCATAATCCTCATAAGGCGGTAAAAAATCTCCCCCCCCCCTCTCTCTCTCTCACTCTTGTCGGGACTGCCGTAGATCATTTTGATTACGAGTTCTCGGGCACGGACCCAGCGCAGGTCTCAATGGTCCCAGTCGATTGACATTGTTCTGGCTGTTACCGTGCGACTAGCAGCCGCGGCATTTGTCGCAGAACAATAGCGGAGGTGCCGGCCCTCTTTAACGTCCACACGCCCACCTTTGGCCCTGGATTATCGTCTCGATAATTGTTCTTCTCACAGACCGGGCCAGTCGTCTTCACCATGGTGCTCGATAGCCCCGATTTGGCCGGCATGGCCAATTTCGCCGTCCGCGCCTTGCAACATCAAGTCAGGCAGACCACGTCGAGTGTCATCTCGAGCGCCATAGCAAGCCCGACGACAACCCCTCTGGCTTCGTCCTCGTCCCTGCTGCCGTCGTCCACCTCCATCCCGCCACCGGCATCAACCAGTGACGGGTCTGGAAATGGCAATAATAACAATAACAACAATAATAATACCTCTGGCTCCTCGCCGCTGCTTTTCTTCGTGGCTCTGGGCTTCGGCGTCGTGTTTACGAATCTTTGGTGAGCATTTTGCGTTGCGCGACCGGGGATGGGCACCATTCAGGTGCTCAGTATGGCGTGCCAATGGTCTACTGGTCCTAATCATGCGAAATAACAGGATTATTGTCGGCGTCAAGTACTGCTTCCGCTACAATGCTCGGAACCGCAATATGCGCATGACCGGGGAGGATGGTGAACCCATCAACCTCGAGAATATGCCGCAGCACCCGCGCCGCCGTCGTCGGGAAAAGAAATTGATGACCATAGACGAGGTCAACGAGAAGTTTCCGATGATGAAGTACAAGAGCTGGGTGGCAAGCCGTGCGCAGGAAGGATTGCCGACGCAGGGTGGCATATCGCACCCACCAAGCCGCGCAGCCAGTCTGGCGGACGCAGACGGTATCATCCCCGTGACCAAGGAGCGCGAATCAACCGAGGACAGACCCGCGACAAGCGGTGCCTCGATAACGACATCGCCCACCCGCGAGGAGCCAACACCCGAGCATGCCGAGAAGCCTGCAACCGCTGCCAATGGCGATGGAGAGCGGCAGAGTGCAGACGCCGCGGCGGCCGCGACGGCGGGCACCTCACTGGCACGAACCGACACCCCTGGCACCGACGACGAACATGAGGAGGATGATGACCAAATACACGACGCACTCCCACCAGAGGCTCTGGAGTCGTCGGGAGACACCTGTGCTATCTGCATTGACACGCTTGAGGACGACGACGATGTTCGCGGTCTGACTTGTGGCCATGCATTCCATGCTGGGTGTCTCGACCCGTGGCTGATCAGCAGACGGGCGTGCTGCCCGCTCTGCAAGGCTGACTACTACACCCCGAAGCCTCGACCAGCCCCCGCAGAGGGCGGACCTCATCCCGAGATGGGACCAACCGTGTCAATCAACCAAGATCCGAGGACCAACAGGATGAACATGCCTTCAAGGCCAGGTGTTGCGTGGGCCCTACCCGGCCGCCGCGGTCGCGTCGGCTTCCCTTCGTGGAACAGAAGACGGGATGCACCTCCCACACAGTCACCTACGGAGCCGCGTACCTCAAATTCACGACGGCCCCAGCAGTCCGGCTTCATGTCGCGGGCAGTGACAGGAGCACGGGGTCAGTCGCGGTCATCTGGGCAGAACGCATCAGAAACGACAGAAAATCAATCCGGCGGTTTCATGTCCAACATCCGGATGCCCAGGTTCAACCTACCTGGTAGATCGACACAGTCGAATCCCAGCAATACGGCTGCTGAGGTGACGCCCTCAGACCTGGAGGCCGGCACACGTACCGACGCTGCTAGATGACAGCCGCCAATCAGCTAGATCAATAACTACTATATTTCATCCTCATCATCACCACCTTATCATTACCTCTCTCTCTCTCTCTCTCTCTCTGTGCTGATCACAGCGAACCAACGTTCGCCATGTATATCATCAGTGCACCTCGACCAGCAGCTCAGACAGCTGACTCTCAAAGTCCCCCCCCCCCCCCCCCCGGGGCGGCGGCGGAACATCGAACGACTGGGTAATATTGCGAGCAGACGTTAGTCTGAACATCATATTATTATATATGACACGCCCCGAAACATTCTGACGACCTGTACCGAAGATGGGCTGAGGATATGAGTTGGAGATGCACACGGCAGAGAATTTCTTTGGGATCTATGTGCGAGGGACCCGACCGACCGTGCTCCCTTCTAGGTTTATTGGATAGGGTGCCGTCAACTGCGTCTGCAAATGTGGAATTGCATAGCAAGAATCTGGGGTGCCTCGGGATGGGAAATGGGTTTGGCAAAGCGCATGTTTTATCTTATACACACCACGGGAGTTCGCATTGGGCAATGGGGTGGTTACCACGTGAAATCGATTTGAAATGTTGCAAACATGATGCGAAATGAACTCCTCTTTTTTTGTTCTTTTGCTCCCTGCTTCACATGATTTGTATGACTTAGTGACGGTCCCTGAATGCCAAAGACGGGAACAAGTCTAATTACAACCGCCCTACCTACTTAGCAGCAAGGAAGGAAAAAGATGGGAAAGGGGGGCAAGCGGTTCATAGAAAATTCCCCTTGGAGAACCTCCCACCAAAATCCGACGCCCTGTTCAGCAGCTGTTTCCGCTGAGACGCCGTGATCTTCATCCCTAACCCCATGTCCTTTTCTCGATCAAAGGCCCTCTTGCTGGGATCATCGTCCTCCTCCTCCTCTCGTCCTCCCTTCTTGGCACCGCCAGCGGCGCTCTCACCCGCCCTGCCGGCCTTCCGCGCCGCCTGGTGCTCCTCGTACAGACTCTTCCCCCTCGTCTGCTCCGTAAACGCCCGGATCTTTTCGTCCCGCCCTAGTCCGCTCGCGTGACTCACTGCAGCAGCTGCAGCAGCAGCAGCAGCACCGCGACCCCTGCCAGCAGGTTGTTCAGCGGCATCCGCACCGCGTCCCAGCACGGCATCCGCCAGCCGCCGCGCCTTCTCCTCGGGCGTCTCGGTCCAGATGCTGCTGATGGCTCCGCCGCCTTCCTTTGGGCGCGAGGTCGCGCTTGCGCCCGAGGCAAACTTGCGGGACCGGATCTTGGTCGGGTCAGCTTCGCGGTAGCCGGACGAGGTGGGTGGGGCGAGCATCCAGTCGTCGCGTTTCGGGGCGGTGTCGGCGGCGGCTGGGAAGGGGGAGGAGGGGCCGACGGTGGTGTTGTGGGGACCTTGGCGAGCGGCGGCGGAGGGGAGGGAGGGGCCGTAGTCGTCGTCGTCGTCGTCATCGTCATCGTCGCTGTCAGAGGCGGGAGAAGGGGATGCGTTGTCGGTAGGGCGCTCGGACAGGGCAGCTGGTGGCGGGGCCGGGCCGAGGACACGCTTGGACGCTGTTGGCGGTGAGGGCCTAGACGGCGCTGGTACTGGGCCTGTGTCGTCACCGTCGGAATCGCTGTCGAGGCCGATCTCGTCCGTGTTCGCGACAGGAGGCATCGTTGGGCCTATCGCTATCGGTGGCGGCCTCGAGGGCCTGGTTTCTGGCGGCGTTGCCACTGCCGTCGGCATGGTTGGCCCTATGACTGCTGCTGGCGCTGCTGCTGGCGCTGCTGCTGGTGCTACTGATTTTGGTGCTGGTGCTGCGCTCGGCCCATAATCATCATCTGAGTCGCTGTTGCCGCCGTCCTGGTCTGGTCGCGCCGTCTTGGACGGCGGTGAGTCTGGGCTGTCCTCGTCATCGCGCTTGCGCTTCGCGAGGTGTGGTGGGAGTTGAGGGCCAATTGAGGACATATTGTTTCACTGCGGAAGATCTTGTCGAAATGTATTTTTTTCAGCCAAATTCGTGGGTCTTCGAGCAGGTTGAAGAGGAAACTGGGAGTGTTGGTTGAGTAGAGTAGAAGAGCAGACTCGTGTTTCGGTGTATGTTCTTGGAGGGAAAAAGAGATTCAGATGTCATCCCAGCGCAAAGGAGCTGCTACAGAACTGTTGTACTATGGTATCGAGCTCTATCTTATCGTCGGAGGATCCTCGGTTGGCCCTGTGAACCCCTGTAGGTGAGCCCTGTAGGTGAGCCGCTAGCCGGCAGCTCCCAGCAGGTTGGCAAGGCTGGGGAGCCCCCAACGCGAATTATGTCGAGCAACCAGGCAGACGAGGAGGACTACCTTCCTGCTCACAGTTTCAGTGTCAACTCAAGTCCTACCCGGTTTTTTCCCTTTTGGTTGCTGCGACACTGAGGATTCGTCCTTCTCTTTATGTAATATTTGAGCTGAGAAGCGAATTGGAGCCTTTGGGTCCCATCCTCTTTGTTCACTGAAGACTGAAGCTCTTATCTTAACTGTCGACCGTCATCGGAAGCCATGCCCACCCCGGAGCCATCTCGATGAGCGCACCAGCAGAGGAAAGGGAGGAGGATGCGAAGGGGGAGGATGTTTCTGAGGAGGAAATGGCCAATATGACAGACCTGCCGCCAGTCCAGGACGATGATCAGGGTGACGACGACGGCCATGACATATCCAAATTGTTAGAAGAGGAGAGACGGCAGTCGTCTGACCTCGACGCGCAAGACACAGGCGTCGTCAACAGGTACAAGGACCTTGCGCAGGAGGAACCAGATGCTATCTCGGACCAAGGCTCTGCAGACGCACTGCCTAGGAGAGCTGCGAGTCCCGTGGATTCGACGCTGTCCATCCCAGACGATACCCCCTCTGTTCAAGTATGTTGGCTCTCTTCTGGAAGACGCGGGAGCACTGGTCTGACCTTCGAAGGGCTCTGTTCTCTCCTCCCCAGGGAGTAGTGTCCTTCCTTCGTTAGCTTCGAGACCTCGCCTGGGCAGTCCAACGCCTTCATTCCGACCCTTCGACCGGCGCTTCTCTTCGCGCATCGCCTCGCCGAGTACCCTTTCCCCCAGATCAGCTTCCCCAGCATTCCTATCTAGCCACAGCCGACATGCCTCCCTCGTAAGCCAGCTAGTATTAGACCATGGCGAGACCGAGACGCCCTCGCCGCCCTGGGAGGTTGTGCGGTGGACCAAATTGAGGAAGTTGAACGGACAGGCATTCTCAGAGGTTGGGAGGCGGAATTTTGGATCGCCCACGTGCGTCGCGGTCTCGGCGCATGTAGTTCTGGGAACGTCCAAGGGCATCATCCTGGTCTTTGACTACAATCAAAACCTGAAAATGATCATTGGGCCCGGTACGAAGGCTGTCGAGTGCGGTGCGATTACGTCGATCGCGATATCGGCAGACCACACGACCATTGGTGGTGGCCATGCCGATGGGAGCATCTTCACGTGGGACACCTCGCGACCGGCGAGGCCCTTCCTGCAGGTCCCGCCACTGGATGACGCACAGATGCAGAACCGCACCATGGACGGCCACTGCCCTGGCTTTGCTATCACCCACCTTGGCTTCCTGGGGACAAGGCACACGGCGCTCGTTTCGGCGGACGACAGGGGCATGGCCTTCTCGCACCTTGCCACGAGAGGCACAGGCTCCTTTGGCAGGACGGTCAAGACCACGAGGATATTGGGACGGTACCCGGACGCCAAACCACCGGCATCCGGCAAACCCCTGAAGCCCAGCACGGTCCTGGCCTTTGCGCCTCTGCCGCTGGGCAATATCGAGCGGGCGACGGATACGATGGGCTTGACCGCAATGCTCACCCCGTACCTCTTGGTCATCGTCTCGACGACGCCTATTGCGCAGACGCAGCACAAGTCAGCGAGGCCAAAGGAGGTGGCTGCTCACAGCGCCATGACTGGTTGTCTGGCCTGGTTCCCAGCCGTTAGGTTGAAAGTGCCAGATCCTGCGAGCGGTGGCCAGATCGCCAGGGCGAAGCTTGCCTACTGCTGGTCCAACGTCCTGACCGTTCTGGATGTTGAGGAGATCCCTTCCGAGGACAAGGACAAGCCGCCTAACCTCAGGTTCAAGGCTAGAAGTAGGTGGAAATGCGAAGAGGCCCTCGTCGCAATCCAGTGGCTGAGTCGTAACGTGCTGGCCGTCCTCACCATCAGCCAGAGGCTCATCATCCTGGAGGATCGGAGTATGAGGATGACGGAGGCTTTTGACCTCATCGGCCGACACATCTACCACGTTGATTTGTTCTCGAAGCAGCTGCACACACTGGTCGAGCAGCTGGATGAAGAGGACACGTCCATGCACGGTGTGGTCGCAGACGCCTTCTACATGAGCTTCAAGACTTACAAGAACAGGATATTCTTATTAGGCTTCAATGACGTCTCGATAGGGTCGCTCTCCAATTGGGCAGACCGACTGATCGCGCTGATGGAGAATGGCGACTACATTGGTGCAATACAGCTGGCCACCACCTATTACACGGGAGACGCAAACAAGCTCACGGTCGGGCTGCCGGAAGATGGCGAGGTGCGGCACACCATGGTCAGGGACAAGCTCCTGGAGATCATGAGCGCATCTTTGAAATACGCCTTTGGCCAGAGACAAAAGGATCCTGTAACTGCAGACGAAAGTCATCTTCAGGACCTCGCCGAAACTTGCTTCACAGCATGCCAGAGCCTCGAGGATATGGACTTCCTCTTTGATGAGATGTACGAGTGGTACGAGGAAGCCGATGTGCAAGGAATTTTCCTCGAGACCATGGAACCGTACATTCTTGACCGAAAGATTCAAGCCGTTCCACCCACAGTCGTGAAGGCCATGGTCACTCACTATGTGACCAAGGGCCTGGAGAGCCGGCTCGAGGAGATGATCTGCCATATGAATACCATGACCTTGGACCTGGATCAAGTCACCAACCTCTGCAAGCAGAACGGCCTTTATGATGCCCTGATTTACGTTTGGAACCAAGCATTGAACGACTACATTACGCCACTCATCGACTTACTGGCCCTCCTTATACCGCTGACGCGAGAAGCTGACGAAGAAGCCTCGGCTAATATCCTGAACGACGAGCATTCTGGTGTCAACGCCTTGAAGATCTTTCCCTATCTCTCTTACGCTCTGACGGGTCGAATCTACCCTACCGGCGAAACGCTCCAATATGACCTGTCAATGAGGTCAAAGGCCGAGCTGTACTGGTTTCTCTTCTCAGGAAAGAGCATCACTTGGCCGAAGGGGAGCACAAAGCGCTTCCTGACACGACCCAACCAAAAAGATGAGCCATCATTCCCATATCTGAGGATGATTCTGAAGCTAGATGCGCCCAGCTTTCTGAGCACTCTTAATGAGGCCTTTGAAGACTCCTTCCTGAACGACTCGCCTGAAAAGCAAGTCAATGGGGGTGCGAGAGGAGAGCTACCGGAAGAGCAGATCTTTGGGTTGACAGTGGACCGGCAGTACATTGTCTCTATTTTGATCGAGCTCATGAACCCGACCGACTTTGCGCCCGAAGACACAATCTACTTGGACATGTTCATCGCACGAAACCTGCCCAAGTATCCGCAGTACCTGTTGCTGCCTGGCTCGACACTGACCAAGGTGTTGACTGGCCTTTGTAATTTCCCAGGGGCGGATCTGGCGGACGATGCCCAGTTGAGCGCCGAATATCTACTTTCTGTGTATCATCCTCCAGATCTCCCGACTCTGATGCCGTTATTCAAACAGGCCGGGTTTTACCGGATTCTGAAGAGGCAGTACAGGCTTGACAAGCAGTACGGCAAGCTTGTGCAGGCTTATTTCGAGGACCCGGACGACAAAGACGGCATTTTCGATTGCATTGCAGAGATTCTACGGCAACAGACAGTGCTTACAAAACGGCAGATCCAGGACGTACACCAGGTCATCCGAGACAATTCAGCTGAGCTTGTCGAGCTTGATCCGCAGAGGGCCGCCAGAGTGGTCGAAGACTATGCCTCGGAGCTGCATGGCCACATACTGCAATCCACGAGCAAGGAGCCGGAATTGCAATTTGACTACCTCAAAGCCTTCCTGGAGCCCGCAGCTGACAGGGTAGAAGGCCTCAAAGCTTCGCTAGACAGAGATCTCATTGAGTACTATGTGCAACTGATGTGCAGATTCGAACCATCTCATGTCTCGGATTATATTGGCTTGGTACAGGCCACAAACCTGCGCCTGGAAAAGCTACTGCCGACCATGGAGGAGACGGGCGTCATAGATGCCGCAGTGGTGCTGATGGCCCGCGAGGGGCAGGTCAAGGAGGCTATGGACCGACTTGTGAAGCACCTCGATACCCTGTCGTCGGCCCTGCAAGGTCTCCTCGTCGGTGGGGAGAGCCACGATGAAGCTGTCGACCCAGAGTTGCAGTCCGCAACTGAAGATCTACTGAGAGGCCTTCAAAAGTACACCCACGTTGGCATCTGGCTCTGTCAGGGGCAGACCAGGACTGCGAGGAAAACGAACGGAGTGCAGAGGAGGCAGAAGTCGCAACCCAGTGATGACCTCTCGTTCGACGAAACATTGTGGCTGAGCCTGATCGATGCGACGGTGCAGATCACACGTCGCCTATCAGCTGCAATCCACAAACTGGGCGGCCAGACCGCCATGGCTGCCGAGAACAGCAGGCAGGTCAACGGCAACACACCACATCAGCCGACCATTGATACCGAGAAGCTAGTCACTCTGTTACGGACGCTTGTTCAGCATACCTTTACTGCTCTGCTGACGGCAACTTCCACATCACAAACCTCTCCAGCGAGTGGGCCTCTACGCGTGACCGTTCCAGGATCGACAGGGGGCGACAACCTGGCTTTCCTACGCATTCTCCGGGCTTTTCTCACCAAGGCTGCAGCTTCGTCGCCTAACCTTGCCGACCTGCGAGCGGTTCTGCAGTCCATTTTCGCGGCTTATGCATACGAAGAGTCAATACTACGCCTGTCGAACCGTCTTCTCGAGCGCAGCCTCTTTGTGAGTGTTAAGCAGGCGACCGAGCTCCGCCAACGGGGGTGGAGGCCCAGGGGCTCAACATGCGAGGCGTGTGGGGCCAGAGTTTGGGGCCCAGGGGCAATCTCCAGCGGCATAATTGACGCATGGGAAGAGAAGACGGCCGCGAAGGACCAGAGAAGGAAGGAAAGACTGGAGATGATGGGGAAGAAGACGATGGAGCGTGGCAACGGCAAGGGCAGAGAAAAGGTCGACCGCGAAGGGATGATTTATGAGCATGTCGGCGAGGCCAGCGGCAGCGGAGGTCGAGGCAAGGGGAAAAGCTCAGCGGCGCCTATGACGCCCGAGTCTTTTGAAGCCAGGCCAAGCGCCGTGGAACGTGATGAGGCATCCGCTGACGAGCAGCATGACGAAGAGTCCACCAGAGAGCAGGCCCAAGATGATGACTCTGCAGCAGCACTGCAGAAGACGAGCGGGCTGGGCGCTGCGGACCAGAACCCTCATGTCCCTCAGCCAATCGTGCTACTGGCCTGTAGGCATATATACCACCAGAGCTGTCTGGAGGCGCTGCAGGTGAGGGATGAGCTGACGGGCGCGGGAAAGCAGGTTGATGAATATGGTCGGGAGAGGGAATATAGATGCCCTATAGATGGGTAATAGTGGTTTGTAGCCAAATTAGTACTTGTACATGTGACTCTAGATATGACTTTATTGTTCTTCCTTCTTCCTCTTCTTTTTCTTTGCTCCTTGTTTCTCTCTTATTCTTGCTTGTTCAGTTGATTGTCTTCACGTTAAGTCGTATTCACGTAATATATAGAGCAGGGGGCCAGTGTACGTAGGAAGGTGCACAGGGGCTGCAGTGGTGTGATTACGACCCTATATACTATAGTGCCCTAGGTACCTGCCGCGGCCGGTAGCGCGAACAAGCCCAACGTCAGTCACGTCTCCCAACCGCGTCAGACGACTTGGCGCATCAACTGTTCCGATTGAACAACCTCCTCAATCTTCTTCTTCACAATGCGCCACAGAAGCGGTCCACCTCGACCATGTCGCTGAGCTCTGAAGAGGAAGAAGGGGACCAGTTCCTCTCTGATGGGCAACACAGCCTCGAAGATGAAGATCCCAACGATCTCTCAAGCGACTTTGAAGATGAAGTTGATGAGCCCTTCAACAATACCACCAACACCACGAACCGCTCCCACTCGCAGCCTGCGCCTGCCCCTTCAACCCAGGCGCAGATGCTCTCCTTCGGGCCCCCCTACTACGGCCGCCCGCCGACGCCCTTGCCTCCCTCACCCAGCCTGACCTCGCTGCTCCGACCCTCGCGGCCGACGACCCCAGACGCGAGCGACGACGAGGGCCTCAACAGCGCCGAGCCCGTACCCCGCGCGAGCCCAAAGGTGCCGACCTACGAATACTACGGCTTCGTGCTCTACCTGTTCTCGTCGTGCTGCTTCCTCATGTACCTGCTCTGGTCCTACCTGCCGTCCCCCTTCCTGCACGCGCTGGGCGTGCACTACTACCCAGACCGGTGGTGGAGCCTCGCGGTCCCTTCGTTCCTCGTCGTGCTGCTGGCGTACATCTATGTCGCGCTGGCGCTGTACAACACAGAGTACCTGACGCTGCCGCTGCACAGCCTCGAGACGATTGTGGACGAGGCGGGCAAGATTGCGGTGGTCGACGGGCGGGGCCGGATCGTGCACAGCGAAGAGAGGAGGCGGAATCTGGAGAGGGAGCGGGAGCGAGAGGATGCGAGGGGGGCGAGGGGGGTTGGTGGTGGTGGCGGTGGTGGTGGTCGTCATCACCTGCGCAAGGGGAGCGGAAACGGGTTTGCCTTGCGGGAGAGGGAAGTGGACTGGAGAGGGTGTTGGAATGAAGGGACTGATGCGGTGATGGATGTGCCGTTGGCGGGGGTCTGTGAGATTCTCTATCGGCGTGGTAGTATGGATGGGGATGGCAGTATAAAGGATGCTTGAAGTACATAATGACACCATCACTTGTTTTTATCACCGTGTCTTGAGAGTTCTGCAGGCAGTGAGCGAGGGGGTAGTGTCTTCCTCAGCAGCAGGTTGAAGCCAGCTATGGCGTCTGAACTGCACACCTCGTACCCATCCGTAGGTGCTGTCGAGGAAAGGAAGAGACAATTGACATGCTAGACAGCCTCTATTCCCATTCCACTTGATTTGCGAGTGTTGTATATCTTCAAATACTCCAGGCAACTTCTACTGAGCCTGTTGTGGAAAAATAGAATCTGTCTACTTCCTATACGCTATTGTCTGACAGAGAGCCTGAAGGTTGCGTCGACCAGATACGTAAAACAGATGCCTTGTATCGTATATGTATTTGATGATTTCAGAGGCCACATAAATATCTCGTGCAGAAAATGGTATGATATATCTCACGGCCGAGCTCAGGAAGATCTACCGCAGCTACTCTGAGACGGTGTTCCATATCTTCTTGGGCGTGCGCGTTGGGCAGGGTAAAGTGTCGGGTCGTACTGGTCAAATTTCTGTGCGACCTACGCTCCTTTGTATTGTGGCATAGAAACAGGTCTCTGTTCTCGTAGCTCCAAAAGAGTTCGCGGCTCGTTCCCAATAGGTGCTTACTCATTGTCTGCAATGGTGACTTGCTTTGGTCAGGAATAGTCTTGAACATGAGCATGCCGGGGAAGAGAGCCTCAAGTCAGCATGCTATCTCCTCCCCCCCCCCTCCCCTCATGCCAACCTTCAGATTCCATACGACGTTCCTCGCGCTTAAGAGGGCATTTCCTCATCCGGAAGATGTGCATGTTCGGGGTGGTAGGGATGAGATGCGGAACTGAGGCTATTCCTACAACGAAGCCAAAGCAGCCTAATGCTTCAAGATGGCATGCACGTGTGTTCTTGAAATAGCAGTGTAATGGCGGCTGCCCCCTCGCACCCATCTCTTGCGACTTAGTTTGTGTATGTGTCTTGAAGGACCACACCCTCCGGACTGCAGCAGGCAAAAGTCAGCGCTAAGATCTGACCCAGGATGAGTGAGAGGAGAGGTGCATGTGGTAGGGCTGCATTGGCAATTGGCCTGTAAATTTGGCCCATCTTACCACACGCACCCCCCCCCCCTCCCCTTCTCACTTGGCCTTTTCGTTCTAGAAAACACAAGTAAACAAGAGGGCTAGCATAGTATATAGGATTGCTATGTAGTCAGCATTTGAGGCAGTCAGGGCACGGATCAGCAGCGATGCGTCTGAAAGATCCCAAGCAATGCCAAGATCCGGTAAAAAGAAGAAAATAATAAAGTTGGCGGGTTGCATGAAGTGACAGCGCTGATCGCAATGAACCGTGCAGACCATGTGTGTAAATAAGAGAGAAGGAGGCACAGCCAAGCCCAGCCACCCACCCACCAGGTCCTGGCGCCCCAAGACCAATTTAGTAGAGTGGATTCGTTGTGTAAGAGAGGCAGAGAGAGTTTGCTCAACCCTCCCTTGTCGTTTTACATGGCTGCCTCGGCAGCCAGTAGACTGTGATGACCACGTAGCATGCACACACCTAGCTAAGCCTGTGTGAGTTGGGCTCGGCGGCTCGGTGTGGTGTCTTGGGAGGGGTGTAGAATCCACTGGATTGATGGGTGGCCCGGTAATCTGCTGCTGCGGGTTCTTGGGTGAAAACCTGCATAAGAGAATCGCGATGCGTGTGCCCCCAAGCCGGCGGCCCCTCGTCATGTCGCCTCCTACGACGGCACGTCTTGTACACTTACTTTTGCCTAGAGAGACCATATTTATCGAAGATAATCTCGATATTTTGTCAATACATACATGGTAGATAGATCAATCATGGCCAAGAAGACTCTGTCAAAAAAGACTAGTCTGCGAGGTCGACGTGCCGAGGCATCCGAGAATAAGACCACGAAGAACCCAAACCCACCTCTTCTTTTCATGCTGCTGCTGCTGCTGCTGCTACCCGATATGCTGGGAAATGTCTTGGTGGTAAATAACAGAAATAAACTTGCCTAGGTCGAGCTCGTAAGATGCTGTGCTGTGCTGGGTCACCGCAGAGTATATGCACAAGTGAGACATGCAGGACGACAATGTGGTGTGCAGGTTCGAGATTCAAGGCTGCGTTCGCGAGGTCGTATTGGAAGGTGACCTAACCCAGCACTCGCAACGCCTAGCCACACTAACACCAAGGTACTGAAGGTGTCTTCCCGCCACTACGACAACCTTGTTTAGCCTGAAGAACTGGGCCAACCCCACTGTCAACCCTCCCCCCGTATTACGACGACATCGAGCAGGGGCCTACTACCAGCCTACTGTACCAACCTCGCGTCCTGTTTGCTGCATCCATGACCGTTTTGTTTTAAGCATTCTTGCTCTCTCAACTTTTCTCAGCCTCTCTCTTTCTCAGTCTTTCGATCCGACCTGACTTTCTCTTCTTTTCCGCCCGAACAGATCTCATATAGTCTTTATTTGACGGTTTTCTCAATTGTTGCCATTCTTCAAAATCTCATCCCACCTCTCATCTGCTTGGTCGTTGTTTCACACGGAACACCTCCTCAATTTGTCTGCTGATTATCATAGGCTCCCTCCTATAAAGACAGTATTATAACCGCCAACTCTCTCTCCCTCTCTCTCGAGCTCTCTTTCACAGGGCCCTCCGCTCACGAAACATCGAAAAAAAATAATTTTTTTGGCTCTCAAGTCACCGCCGTTGGTTACTGGCGCGCTGATTTCCCCCAAGCCGGCGCTTTCTCAGCCCTTCCCTAGATTCTCGAGTCCCGGCGCCCTCACCTGGGTTGTTCTGGGGTGCCATTTCGACCGACCAACCATGCCGTCCATTGAGACCGCCATATAGTTGCACCGAACATTTACTCCCTCAACAAGTCGCAGCTCATACAGCCCAACACGCCTTGGACTGATTGCGTACAGAGCGATTGGAAGAACAGTCTGCTCAGTAAGCATGCCTCGACCACGAGTCGCCGTTCCCGTCCTCTCGTCTCCGCTTCCGGTACCTGTGGCGCCGAGACTAGATCCTCGGCAGGACAATAGCGATCCCTCCTCTGGTTCTGGTTTCGGGGACAGTGGTAGCGGGAACAGCAACAGCAATAGCAACACCAACGACAGCAGAAGTAGCGACAGCAGTGATGGCGTCAGTACGACAGCTATAGTACGTTTTGGCCTTCCCTTCTCCCATCGCATTGAGTCGTGACCCCAGTAGGTCTTGCACACAGTATACTGACCACTCCCCCGTCCGTCCTTGCAGATCATCCTTGCCGTGGTAGTGTCCATCATCGCATTAGTCTGCGCCTTTCTCTTCCTCCGTATCGTCCGATCTCGCAATGCTGAGCCGAGATATCTCCCCAAGCCTCTGAGGAAGCTGTGGTTGAAATGGAATGTTGGCCCCCGCCGCTCCAAGACACAATATGCCCGAACCGGCAATGGGGAAGATGACCGCTTCAACCCCCGGGTGCGCATGCGCGAGGCCCAGGACAACATGGAAGATGCCCTGCACATGGCGGTAGCACAGCAGGAAGCAGCAGCCCGCCGGGCCAGCCAGCAAGGCGCCACAGCTCAAGACGGCGTCAATCGGAACACCTCGGTCCGGTCCGTCATGACCCTCCCTGCCTACCGCCCCAAGGCCACGGACACGGAACAGGTGCTGGGCCGGGAGGGCGAGCGTGATGGCATCGACACCGTCGTCGAGCTGCCGACCGCCGAGGAGGAAGAGGCCATGCGTGAGGAGGAGATGGATGCCTTGTACCAGATCCGACTGGCCAGGCGCCGCCAGCTCGCAGAGCGCGAGGAGAGACGGCAGGAGCGGAGAGAGGCAAGAGAGCGGCACGATCATCGTGCTCTGGCCGACATCAGATCACGAGCGAGGGAGGCGGCCGACCAGGCCGTGCGAGAGGTCGATGAGCTCCGGGGACAGCACGACGCCATCAAGCACAACCGGCAGCGCGCTGTCAGCAGCGTCTCCTACGCGGATGTCGGCCTGGTCCGGGCAGATGGCACAAGGCTGCGCGCAAACAGCAATGAAAGCGAGCGCATGGGCTTGCTGAGTGACGCCGCGAGCATCGCCCTTAGCACGGGCGACGCTCAGAGTTCACTGCAGCACAGAAGGCACCCCAGCTCGCAGAGCGTCATAAGCGTCGACACATTCAGAAGCAATAACGGAGGCGGCTCGAGGTCGGCGTCTCCAGGCCAGGGCACGGCGCGGAGCCGCGCCAGCTCGAGAGGCCAGCTGAGCGAGGGCTACAGCATGGCCACCCTGCCACGAACGGGCTCTGCCATGTCGCAACGAGCCGGGTCCAGCCCCGAACTGATTGACGCGGCCGAAGCAGATATAGGCGAGACCGAGATGCCGCTGCATTCGCCTCCCGGGTACGACGACGTTTCCCTCGAAGAGCTGCCCCCGCCCGAGGTTTCCTACCAATCAGGGAACTCGGGACGAGACAGCCCCTATAACGAGCCGCCGCCCGACTATCCCGGCCAAGCAGCGGAACGTGCACGCCGTGAGCAGGACAGTCCGACGCGAGCGCGACAGAATCGTTTGTCAGCGCACATGGCTGACCTCGCTGCCCAACAACAGCACCAGTTGGCTGCTGCCGAGGCGCACGGAGCTTCAACACACACGAGGCAAAGCTCGAGAGGGGTCGGCGGCATCCCACAGCTTCCGAGCCTGAGGCTCTCTAATCTCCCGCAGATCGTCATCGAGCCCTCAAGCGCTCGACCAATAGACGAGCACGAGGACGAGAGGCCATGATCGTTACCAAGGGAAGGCCTTGCAAAGGTGTAGAGATGGCAATGATGGGAAGCCAGACCCAACAATGGCAGTGTTGTACAGAACCGCGGGCAGACATGATCCCATGACGGACGAGTAAACGACCAGTCTCGAAGAAACAAAAGGATAAGCCAGGAGGAGGAAGCTTTCCCAGCATTTCTCCATCCGGTTTCTTTTTTCTTTTTCTTCCTTTTTTCTCATTTCCTACCGAAAGAATCCGAAGGCGGAGGCGTCAATCCTTTTTAGCGGACAATTGCAAAGATACCAAATCTTCAGGTCATACGTACATATATATATATATACACAGGGGAGTCAGTCATAACCTAGTCGGCAATGAATATTACAAACGTCTGTATTCTTGGGGAGTTTGGAGAAAAAAGGAAGGGGGGGGGGGGACCGTAGGCTCAGCATCTTGCATTTAAACATAATTGTAAATTACGATGTAATCTGCATCAAAATGTTGCTACCTCTTTTGAATTTCTATTCGTGGTGAAGTTGTTTTGAATTCTGAAAAATAATCTTCCTGATAACATTGATCCGCAGATTCATTCGCCCCCCTCCATGGCCACGATAATGAAACATCACCACCAATGCTGGACTCGATTGCAAAGTTTCAAGAACACAAGCAGGCTATGTAATGCAGGAGCTGTGAGTTGGAGATTGGGAAAGATAAAAGCTGCTAGATAAATCCCAGTCAGTGCTTGATCGACCTCTTGACTTCCTTCGCCGCCTTCTCATGGTCGTGTCTGTAGCAGCATGCTGACACACATCCCTAGTTCCAAGCCCTAAGAGATGCTCGAGAGGAGATTAATGAGGGAGAATAGAACGGAATATCATTATAGGAATAGAATGTATGTGTTTGTGTTTGTGTGTGTGTGTGTGTGTGTGTGTGTGTGTGTGTGTGTGTGTGTGTGTGTGTGTGTGTGTGTGTGTGTGTGTGTGTGTGTGTGTGGGTGGGTGGGTGTGTGTGTGGGTGGGTGTGAGATTGAGTATAAACAGGCAAACAATCAGCAGACTTTATCTCGAGGCCCCAAGCCAAACCCGGTTCGCCTTTCAATTCCGGCTCACTCAACAAATTCTCCTCCCTCCCATAATATAAATAAGAACTTCTTTCAAGCCTCCCAAAGATACACAAAAGAATTACCTGGCGGCGCCAGCCAGGTGTAAGAACAGTCTTCAAGCCCCCAGTAAATGAAATGAAGCTTGAGTGATAGGTATCATCGTCATCTCTACCTCGCTTTCCGTAGCATGTGAAACATTGCAATGCGGGTGATAATCGAACAGTCTGCGGCTGGGTATTTGGTCTTTCTGTTGTCCGGCTGCTTCGGCGTCTAGGGACGCGCAGCTATCGTAATATGATGGTCAGCACGCTGGGTGCTTGCTGCCCGATCGCCTTTCGAAGCGAGCCCTGGTGACTGTATGGCTCCAGCTACATCAAAAGGCGGCGGTGATGGGTATTTCGCGACGCTGCAAATCCAGAGATCGTCTCCCACTGTGTGATGATCTCCCCTCTGCCCGGGTTTTGGGGGGGGGGGGGGGGGGAGAGTGTTGATGACTTGTTGCAATTTCAACCAATTCTCGTGAGACCACGGTCCTCAAGACATTCATCGGTCCTCACCACCTCTTGCCTTCCCTCTCCTACGGAAAAAGTCCATAACCCTCCTAGCCGCTCCACTACTGCCCGCAGGACCGTGCCGTTGTGTCTGCGAGTATTCGTCCGTATCGTAGGCATCAACGAATCGCTTATTCTTGGATAGAACACCGCGGCCACCCCTACTAGGAGTTCTCCTGGAGTCGGACTGGTCGAGCGAGTAGGCCGATTGGTTTGTTGGCCGTTGAATGTGCTCAGCAGACGAACCCGAGGCACTATTGGGGGCTGCGCCCTGCTGCTGCTGGTGCATCATACGAGCCTGCGCCTGGTTCTGCCTAGCATCTTGCTGCCTTTGGTCCAGATGCGTATTTGCTGGGCCGTACTGATGCTGCTGATACTGTTGAGCCTGGCCAGGTGCCGAGGTTGGGGCGGGTCCCTGAGGATGTTGTAGTTGAGCATACATGCCGTCGATGTCGGTAGCATCCGGCGCGTGGGGTTGCTCGAAATACCGTCCATGTTCATCAACCTGCGGCGGATCCTGGGCCGCCAGGCTCGGTTGTGAACCACGCTGGTCGTAGCCGTCATCCTTTCCGAGCCCAATGGCCTTCAGGGAGAACGAGTTGGGCAGCAACGAGAAGCGCTTGCTCTGCTTATCGAGAGATGTCGACGACCCTGTCATGCTCCCAGACCTCTTCTTCCCTCCCAGGCCGAGCGAGAACGACCGCCGCGAGGGCTTCGAGTCCATGGACGGACGTCCCACAGCATCGTCGGCGATGGGCTTTGTCATGCTGACAGGAGGATACCTCTTCTCTTCGGGCCGAATTTGTTGGCTCTTGCGGTTCCGATTGCCGAAGAGCGACCCGCTCCGACCGAAGATCTTGCCGCCGATTTCACCAATCGTGTTGGATCGCCTGTGGCCCTTGGTGTCGCTGCCAGCATCGGAGTATCCGGAGTTGCTGCCAGGTTTGTTGTGCGTGTTGGCGGAGAGTCTGCCGAAATCTGTGCTCTGCGTATGCGCGTGACCAGAGTGTTCGTGGTTGGAGCGACCGGGCGGTTGTTGTATTCTTCCATGCACGTTAGTATCAGCAACCATAGGGGCGGACGGCTGGCCATACTGAGATCTCCCGCTTCCAAGACCCATTGAATTGGCTGACCCGCCAGTCATGGGACGTCCTGAAGCGCCCATGCCAGAGCTCATCCAGGAGCCATCAGAAGCTGCTCGTGTAGATTCCCGACTCGTCCTAGATGGCGCCACGTTCTGGTTGTTGTTCATGTGCGAGCTTGGCGGTTTCCTCGAAGAGACGGGGGGGTACTGCGGGCCTGCCGGCGGGTCTCGGGGCAGCGGCTTCTCAGGCTGAACCTCGACGGGCCCTTGACTACTTGAGCGCGCCTTGGTCTTCATGGAGCTGCCACCCTGGGCACTGCTGGCGGTCTCGCCACGTTGTGTCTGCGTATTGGGCGCGACGTATTCCACCTGCACAGTCCTCCTCTTGTTGTCCCTCTGCTGCTTGGCATGCGCCGCAGCCTCGGCCTCGGGATCGACAGTACCCTGCTTGCTAGCCAGGCCGCCGATGGCTGGCGCGGGCGCGGCCTTTCTGTGCGCTTCCCTGACAGAAGCACTGCGGCCCATCATTGGTCGGTCGTCCTCCTCTCCGACGGTCGTGTTCTGGATCTCCCCTGGTGTGGTCGTGCTGCTGGTGATAAACTCGACGACGTGCGCGTACTCGCTCAGCCAGCTGTGCCTGGCAACTTCGAAAAGGTCGGCGCGCTTTCGCGGGTTCGGGACTAGTATTCGTCGCAACAGGTCGCGTGCATGAGGTGTTACATACTCGGGAAAGGTGAGAGGGGTGTTGACGATATACTTGTAGAGCAGATTAATGTTGTCACCTTCGGGGTTCGCGGGGTCGTCGTCGAAAGGCAAATAGCCTGCCAGCATGGCGTACTGAGATTGTGTCAGCCCCGCCTGGAAGTGAACAGATTAGCTCGAACTGGGCGACTCACCAATATCACACCACAGCTCCATACATCAACCTTGCGACCGGTGTACAGCGAGTCGCTGACGACCAACTCTGGAGCGGCATAGCAGGGGCTGCCACAGCTTGTCTGCATCAGATCGCCCTTCCTCAACCCATTAGGCTTCACCTGGTTCAAGCCCATGCGCTTGACAAATTCCCGGTCGCTAAGGTTGTTCTCCTCCTCTTCGGAGAGCTCCTCCGTAGGGTCGAATGTGTTTGCAAAACCAAAGTCGGTGATGATGATGTTGCGGTTGCGGTCGAGCAGGAGGTTCTCCAGCTTCAGGTCTCGGTGCACGATACCCTTCTTGTGCAGGTACCCAACGCCGGACACAAGCTGGGCGAAGAGCCGTCGGGCGGCGTTGTCCTTCAGGTAGCGATGGTTGAGGATGTAGTCGAAAAGCTCGCCACCTGAAGCATACTCTAGGACGATGCCGTAATGCCTCTCAGACTCTTCCATCTTGTGCAGCCGGACGATGTTGGGGTGCGTCAGCTGCTTCAGGATGTGGACCTCACGCATGATCTTGGCCATGCGAGACGGGTTACTACCAAGCTGATCCTTTTTGATGAGCTTGATGGCGACCTGTACAGAAGCGGGTGGTGGTTAGCCTCATGAGCCTTTGGTATTATCAACTTGCCAAGGCTGGGTCGTTCGTCTTACCTGCACGCCGCCCTCCTGTTTCCAACCAAGCTTGACCTTGCCAAACTCGCCCTCACCGATAGTGTTGCCCAGAATGTACTCGCCAAACTTGGTGTGCTTTTCTCGCTTGCTGTAGTCGTGTCTGCTCCGGGTACCACGCCGAGACTCCTCACCCTGCTGCTCACCGGCTGTGGCGGCGGCAACGGCATCATCAAGAGCTTCTGACGGGTGTCGGTGCGACAGTGCGGCGCGTTCACGTTCCCGCTCGATGTCGACCTCGGGTTGTGACACCAGCATTGTGTTTAATATCTCACTCGCCTCCCGAGAGGGACCTTGCGGGGTGGACGATGCGCTGTGTTGTGTCCGGATAGGCATTGCGACTGGCGGCGCGTTTGTCCGTGCGGGCTCTCTCTGGCTACTGCTCGGCTTTTCTGACCTTCGACTGCGGCTGCCATCCTCTTGATATACATGGCTCGCACCGGCCTGTCCGTTGACATCCGCACCGCCATAGCGCTGGGATGCCGACCGGTCCGCAGACTGCTGCTGTTTTCTCGAGGACGTCGAGGCACCGCCAGGATTGCCCGGGACCTGCTGGGACGAGGTGCGTGGGGGCACGACAGCGGAAGGCATGTTCTTGCGACGGTCGGAGGAGGAAGGCCGGTCGTAGGTAGTGTTGACGGGAATGGGGGACGCAAGGGCGGCGCGGGAACTCATTGGGGAATTGGTCTGGGAAGGGGTGTCTCCTTTGTTGACTCCGTTACCGTTGCCGCTGCTGTGTTTCCTGGAAGGGCGGTGAGAAGCTGAGGAGGGAGGGTTGATGTTCTGAGACGTAGCATAATAGGGATCACGGCCTGGAGACGATGTCAATTGTTGTTGCTGGCGACCAGTGCCGGCGGACGAGGTGACAGCTAGAGGCGGTGAGCTGAGGGTCGCGACGGATGTTGCAGTCTGATGAGGCGTGGTCTGTAGTGCAGCCGACGACATTTTCCCACGCAAGGGTCGCGCGGAGGGGTAGCAAGTCGAGGGTGCAGGAAGATCGATCGGTCCAGGCGGTGTGTGTTGCAGGCAAAAGTCGTGCGTTGCGGTGCGGTGCCGTGCGGTGCCGTGACGTGACGTGACGAGGTAGGTGCAGGGGAGGAGGTGTGTTTTGTGTAGGCGCTGCGACACGACCCGCGGTGGGCTTCTTTCGTCCCTTCTTCGCAGGAATGCAGTCAATTGATTATCGACGTGACTGACTTGGCGCGACTCGGCTGGACCTCTTCTCGGCGCAGCCGTCGCCCGCAGTGATCGAAACCGCTCGAGTTGGGCGAGGATTTGGTAGTATGTAGTAGGTAGGTAGGACGGCGGATTGAATGGCGGGAAAGGGGGGCGCGGACGTTGGGCCGGTAGGGTGTGTTTCGGGAGACGTTGGGTTTAGCACGACCTGCTAATAACCTCTGGGGGGCCAACGTCGGGTCCTGAAGCTGGCTGATTGCAGAGGGTGAGGTGTCGCTCGCTGGCTCCCTCGGTTCGGGCCACGGGTTTCCCAGGTCTATGAGGTCGCAAAATGCGGGAGTAGGAGGAGGAGGAGGTGGAGGAGGGTCGGGCAATTGTAGGAGGGAGGGATGGGTCGTGCACAAGGACAAGGACGAGGAGGAGCGACAAGCAGTAGCCGAGAGCTAGTATCCACAGCCTCGACGTTGCCTCCAGCGCCTGTGCTTTTTTTCTCCCTCTCCTCTTTCCCTCTGGGATAGGGCGACGGGTCGAGCGAGGGGTGGGCTGCTGAAGAAAAATAGGTGGGCACGACTAGTGACTTTTCTTTTAAGAAAGAAAAAAGGCAATTAAGAGAGAGAGAAGAAGAAGAAGAAGAAGAAGAAGAAGAAGAAAAAAACGAAAAATAGAAAATAGTAACCAGGCGTGGCAGGCAAGGTTAAGGGACGGGATGTCGCCCAGGAGGGTAGTAAGAGTGCTGTTGTGCCTTGCTTGTTTTGTATCCGTAGCTTTTTCCTTGTCCTTGGTCCGGGCTGGGCTGAGACTTTGTGTTGGAAGAAAGAGCCTGAACTCGGACCGTTGCGTAATTATGCACTGCAGGTGATTTAAAATAAGTGCCCAAATTTCCAGCCAGTAATGCAGAGGACCCAAGTTTTGTCAGGAAGATCTCAAGAGGCTCGGGTACCAATTGGCCATGCGAGGGCGGGGGAGGGTCAAGTTGTCTGCTATGACGGTTTATGGTATCATGGCTGCCCTGTGCTTTCACAAAGTTGTGGTGGTGGTTCGTCCAGACAGGCCCCTTGGCAAAAGTCACAAGTCGCAGTCCTGCAACACGGGCTTTGGGAGTAGCAGGATCTAGAGGGCGGTCAAGGGTCCTGTTCGAATCTGCAGGTAGGGTACGGAGATCTGTTTGTTGATGGATCGCCGTGGATTCGCTTTCCACCCCTGTGCCTCGCCCAGAGAGTCTCGATTGGTAAAGTGGATGGCACTTGTCGACTCAGGCGTGGGCACCTTGCATGCATGCCCACAGGCACAAACCTCCTGCAGGTAAGCTTGGTGCAAGAGCCTCTCTGGCGCTCTCTCGCCTTGAACCCCTTCCTGCAAGCGCTCTAACGCCCTGCCGACGTGTTCCTCAGCCTGGGCCTAGTTGTGTTGCTTTTACTTGTCGCTTTGGCCCCAACGAATCCTGGCCATACGCACACCCCCCTCACTCTTGCTGGTGACAGCTGGCGGCTTGAGCAGGCCAGGCGCGACACGATGGGCGGTAGAGTCGTAGAGTTGAATCGATTATTCAATTATCCTTTAGGCGCGGCCGTGTCGCAGGAGGCCTAGTTCCGGTGGGGAATGTGCTGGTTGGGTTGTGTCGAGGTCAGGTCGTGCTACGGTGGGACAGAGGATGTGTACTATTCGACAAAAAGAAGGGGCGGAAGAAAAGGGAAGACAAGAAAGGAAAATGAGAGACTGTGACTTGTCAACGGGATACACGCCGTTGACGTCGACGATGACGAGGAGGAGAGAGGAGGAGGAGGAAGCGGAAAGAGGGTGAGGAAGAAGGGGGGGGGGTGTGGTTGGTTGGTTGGTCCTCTCGGGAAAGGGAGCAATCTGGTGGTGATGATGCGAAGGAGGGAGAGGCCGGGTCTCGAGGGCGGGCCAGGTCAAGGGATTGCAAGGAAAGAACGGGGTCCTTGTCACTCACTCACTACTTCTCTCTCTTGTGTGTGTGCGCGTATGTATGTTTTTCGATTGTCAGTGCGGTACGAAACCACTTCACTATGTACATAAATAACCACCATGTACATGACACAATCACTTGATTTTGCACTGCAATCGCTACTTCTACAGCACTATAGTAATACTCATTCTGCTTCACAGCCCCTAACCCAATGGTATGACACCAATGGCAACAGCAACAGCAGCACTTACAATGATCAATGTCAGGGCAAGAAGGCAGGAAGCGAGAGAGAGAGAGAGAGAGAGAGAGAGAGAAGGGACAGGCAGGCAAAAGGCAGAGAGGTTGGGTTGGGCTAATCTCAGCAAATTGAAAGCTCGTTTCCCTTGTGTTCCTTTTGAATTGCTTCCTTGGTTTTTCCCCCTCCGCCGAGCCATTTCCCAGGTGGCTCCACGCAAACATGTCAGCCCGGTCAATGCACGGCACTTCAAATCTCACCAGCAGGCGAGCCCGACGTCTCATTTCGCTGTGCAATCCAACCCAACATCGCCCTCTCTCCATGAACTTTAACAATAAACAAAAACAAAAAAAAAACAGCAGCAACGCAGATGCCCCCCGAGATGTATGCCAGCCAACCTTCTGCCTCTTGTCATTCTCCTTTCCTCTCTCTTCCCCTCCCTTTTCCCTTTCCCTCTTCTCCCTCAACACGGCATCTCTGGTCTAGCTCGTGTCGACATTCCCAAGATGGCTTTCTCCCGCTCCATTGGCAATCTTTACCGCCCCCTTGGGCTGACCTACTTTGCTAGCCTGCGGTATCAGCCGGGGACATGCCGGTTGTTTTTCATGGCAGCTTGTACTAGTAAATCACGGCTTCATGCGACGCCATCTAATCTTCCAAGATCAATCAGAAACCACGTCAGTCCGAATTTTTTCCTTTAGAGCATTTTCCCTTCTTTCTTTTTTTGTTTCTAGTTTCAGAGGCCAAATGGGCCTTGGCAATACCAAAAGAGGATTGCCTGGTGTAAGGAGTCTCAAGTTGCTTTGCCCGTTGGGATAGACCTGGTGATGCTATGTACTATCCCCGAACCAAGGTAATCCACCATGTCTTTTGGGTAGCAACAGAGGGGACGGGTCACAGCATCTCCCATGTCTCAGCCCCCACCGACTATCAAGTTGCCCTCGATGGAGAGACTCGATTTCCCAACCAACCAACCTTGGGCTCCTGTCAGAAACTCTGGGTGATGGACCCGCGTGGAAATCGCACGGTAATAAACTGGTGTGGTTTGAAGACACCCGCACAAACAAGTCGTCCCTGTGTGATTACGGTGACACGGCACCGGTCAATCTGCTTGCCTGCAGCGACCTCTTTCGGGCTTCAAGGCCCTCGTATGCCTGTGCAGATTGAAGCTGGCTGAGCTTTAGTGACCGAGGGGCAAGGGGGCCTGGGCTGGGGAGGCAGCAGAATGCCAGCGCAGGTACGACGTATCCGTGCATATGCATCTAGCTAGCATGCCAGGCACGGCGAGGCGGATACTACCTCCCGGATCCACGATAGCTTCAGCAGCCGGAGACACACAAAAGGAGAAAAGAAAAAAAAAAGAGGGGGGGGACAACCGAACCACCAAAAGCCACTCCAGTGCGAGTCGCCAGCGAAGCGCCGTCGTCATTCGAGACGCACCTTGGCCCCGATTGAAGTGGAGGTCGCCATGTCCAGCTGATGTACTATGTAATGCTGCTGAGTTCTAATACTGGTGCTGGTTGGGCTGGCACCTGTCCCCATATCTGTGGCTCTCTTCTTGTTGCTGCACCTCTGCGCTGGTCATCACATTATTTCACAAGCTCTCGTGTCGCAGTAGCGTTCATCCCAGGCCAACAGAACAACGCTGGTCCTTGGCTACGCTATCAGCCGTCTCCACAATATCCTTCCAGAAGGTCGGATCGAAGCATGTGACACGGGCAGGATTTTGCATGGTGTGACCATCGTTGATGGATGCCCAGCCACAGGCATTTTTCCTTCTCGTCCTGACGATCTTGCCGCAGAACGATCAGACGAACAGGAAGGCGCAAAATGAAGCAGAGGAGAAAAAGAAGAAGAGCGGGGCTTGACTGTCTGTCTGTCTGTGTGTCGAATCAAGTCTTGGAGAGAAAGAGATAGAGGAGGGCCAGATTGCACGTTGTCTTGTCTTGCCCTGTGTACCAGAGTAAAACATGCCTTTCTTCTTCTCTTTCCAATTCTTCTTCATTTTGCGTCTTCCTTCTCGTGTTGTAAAGGTGTGACGGCGCTGGGATGAGACAAAAGAAAATTACGTAGTGGCCCTCAGCTGTTCCTGTTCCTGGATTGCAACCCGCACTTGGCCCCGCGCTAAATACCGCTGCCGACAGGGCCCAGGGTCTGATGCACGGCAACCTTCTTCTCCCAGCTCAATTATCCATCCATCCATTCATTCATCTCTTCAGACCTGCCATGGGGTTTGACATCCATCTATGGTAGTCTACAAGTTCTATGGCTGCAAGTGTACGACCACTTGCGGTGTTTTCAACTCCCAAAGCCCCCATTTAGCTGTCGACGGGTAGACGAGAGAGAGACCTCGGAAGGCAGGGTAGCAGTCGGTTGCCATCAACAGTCCACCGCCGGGCGCTGATCTTCATCATAAGCAAACACGCGAGGGTATCAACAGCGCCGGCAGACCTTGCAACTTGTGGGCGATATCCGAAGAGGACATCCCCGACCTCTCTTTTCTCCTTCTCTCTCCCTCTCTTCGTCTCGGTGTATATCTTACTGTATTGAAAGCTCAATCCCACACAACAAGAAAAAAAAAGACAATCAGGAATATTCCGCTCGCGCTAACATATCCGACGAGTTTCAACCCCCCCCCCCAACCTTTTTTTTTTTCTTTCCCTCCCCTTCCCAACCTCTTTCTAGGCCTGATATGTGACCCGGTAACCACAGTCGCAGCTACAAGGGCCAGGCCAGCGCCCTGGCACGGCCCCCCGGCATACACCTTTGACGTCTTGTTCCTTTCTGAAGGGTTCTTTTTCTCTTCCTCTCTCTTTTTTCCCTTTCCCAACCCAAGTTGTCTAAGCTACTATACATCCACTCATCCACCGGCTCTGACTGACCAGGGCCAAGTTTCGTGACCAGCGCATGAATGCAGCAAGGAAACAACCCCCCCCCCCCTTTCTTCTCCTCCCCAACGGGACAGCCGACGCCGGACACGCGGCTCGCCTGTCGATCACTGCTGTCAACATCTTCATGCTTTGCTGCTTGCCATGTCACATGTGTGTAAAGAATTGTACGGCCAGCGGAACAGATTTCGTTGGCAAAGGGGTCATGGGGTGCGCCGAGCGGGTTGCTCGCTTCGCTCAGTCCCTGCTGTTATTCATGCGGAGAAGCCCGGGGGGCGGGCCAGCGTTTCATTCTGTAATACTCTTTTGTCTTGATATTCTTTTTACTCCCCTTACACACTCTCTCAGGCAACAGCTTCTCGGCTTGACGGAAGCAAGCTGTGCTGTCTTGACAGCAGGACCCAAAGAATGTCGTGTCACATGCATGGGATTCGTAAATCCTCACGGCTGATCGTTTTGCTGTTCTAATTCCTCATCATCAGTATCATCCGCACTATCATCTATCTGAACATGATGATCTCATCCTCAGCGGATCGCCTTGACTACCTAGTACAAAGCCAGCCATATGGACCAAAGCCATCATCTGGGACACATGGAAGGTTAGAGAAGGGGGATGAGTGTGCCATTGTTCTTATGTATCTGGGAGGATAAGGATCGTGGTGAGCCCTTACAGCCACACCGTAGGCGTGTATGTGTGTGCCGTCACAGACAGCTTCGTACCTCTCCAGCTCCATCATCTCATCCATCCCGCTTTCTCCTCAACTTGCCAACAGCAGAGACATGTCTCACCACTCTCTCGAAACATTACACTCTGTGGTCTGCCGCAGAAGAAGTAAAATGACAAGGCTAGCTGACCGCCTCGATGGCGCTCGGCCGGGGCCGGGGGCGGGGGGGATTGTTTGATCAGTCTATGGTCTCGGGACGTCTTTCCGTCTGTGTCGCAAGTGGACGCCGTAACGCCCTCAAAAAAAAAAAAGGAAAACCAAGAACGGAACGACAAGGTTACTTTCCACAAGCATCAGTGATATACTCAAGAAGACGGAAAAAGAAAAGATCAAATCCTAATGCTAATATGCTCGTCCATCCATCTTGTCTCTGTAATTTCGAGTTCGGCAACCCCTCCGGTCGGCTTTCATGTCTTCCATGTCCTGTCACTTTTGTCATACTACTGGGGGGGTGTTGGGTTTCCTTTGGGGGGGGGGGGGGGTTGATTCACCAGCCGCAGCAGCTGGTGGCCCAGGTTTTGAGTTCAATTTTACCTTTGACCCTTTGTCCACACATAATTCTGTGTCAGAACAAGCCAGCAAAACCCCCAAGGCGATCACAGGGCTTCCGGAGCAAGGCCCGGGATCTCTTCTGGGCTTGCTTGACCCACACACCGGAGTTGGCCGAGGAGGGAGGTCCCGAAAACAAGGTTCCAAGTCGGAAGCCCGGTTTCCTCCCACAAGGGGCACACCATGGATGCTACTGGTAAAAGCCGCTCTGCTTCATATCAGTATTAATGCGAGGGAAAAATTCTGATACGGAATGACGGTTCGAGGCGACATGTTTCTTTCTTTCCCTTTCCCAGGTCAGGATGACGCAGCTACAATGGAATGTTTGCTCAGTCCTTAGCATATCCCGTCAAGAGGAGGCCTCCAGAGCTACCCGCCGTGACGCAACGAGCATAAGACCATGCAGATTACACTATAAAGTGAGATTTATGCCCTGTTCCCCCTCAGGGGTATGCGCTATCCGCCAACATCCATGCAAGGAGGAAGGACAGCAGCTCTGCGAACTATGTCGTGGATCTCTGGTGAGACCTTGACACAGACATCGAGGCCGAGTATTTTTCTTTTCTTTCTTTCTTCTTCTTCTTTCTTCCCCCCCCCCCCAAATGTCTCTCAAGACAGCTTAATGTTAATATTATACGCATCCAGTGCGACTGCCACAGCAGTCAAGACTGCGCTGTACGCGACAAGGATGCCAATACTCCCCACCGGACCAACATCCAACGTCGGCACCGTCATATTTACCAGCCCGGTCAGGAGATTCGCCAACAAGAAAATGGCAAGACCATTGCGGTTGTAGGCACGGAGCACCCTGCTCGTCGCCAATTCGTAGGCTTCCTTCTCAGATTTCATGTCCACAGCACTGTAGAATCCCGGAAAGCACAGCGTCTCGACCAGGCAGTACGCGAACAGCTGCAGCGAGCCCAAGGCGGCCACGCCCAGGATGTAGGGCAGGTTCGCAAGCCTGCGAGACACAGACAGGCCTGCTCCGTAGTTATAATCCGTGGCCAAGAAGTACAGCGCTGACCATATGCTGCACCACACAGCCAGGGTCATCAGGAGCGTCGTCCTCTGCGTCGCGCCACCAGAGCCACTGCGCGGGTTGATCTTGCGCGGCAGGACATACATGCCCGTGTCCTGGCCGGTGAGGAAGATGGCCAGGTAGCCCAAAAAGCTGAAGACACCCTCTCGGTTCCTGGACAGCAGGTCCACCCTGGGGGCAGTGAGGATATAGGCCTTCAGGCTGGTGCTCTCCAGTACCACCTGGTATGCCACGCCGAGGATGAGCGCGAGGGCCGCATACGACGGGATGATCTTTAGGGCCGACTGGAAGAGGGCAACAAACGGCGGCAGGAAGGCCAACGTAAAAAAGAAGTTCCAGTGCACCCCGTATTCGGTGACATGCTCGGCATAGTCGAGCCCCTTCACGCTAAGCAGGCGGACTATGCCTAGGACAAGGAGGGGTACGGAATGGCGGCATGCGTTGGCGAGCCGCCTGGGCAAGGTCGTGACCATTGCACGGCTGCCGCCTGCGTGGGCAGCACGTTCTTTGAGGACGGGCCGTGCTGCGACCACACCTGCAGAAAAGACAAAGGCGCCCACGCCGACGTCCATCAGAGACGTGCCCCATGTCTCCACTTTCGCGAAGCGCCTCGGGAAGATGCGAAAGTCAACGGCCAGAATCGCCAGAGAGGTAAGGACCAGTATTGAGCCGCGGAAGAACGTCAGGAATGGCTTTGTCGAGAGCACATCAAGGTCCCGACCGCCCGCCTTGTTGTTGTTGCTGCTGCTGCTGCTGCTGCTGCTGCTGCCGCCTGACTTGGCGGCGGGAGGAAGCTGGGGCTTCTTTCTCCGCGCGCCCGTGTTAGGTGGCAGGGCGCAGACAAGGAGGGCGGGTGCAAGGAGCAGTATGATGAGCAGGACTGCGCTGTTTGCATAGAGCGTGATGGCGAGCAAGGCAGCGCCGATGTTGAGAAGGTAGTCGACGACAAACCCGAGGGCCGTGTAGGGCCTGAAGAAGGACTGCCGCGCCTGCAGGACCGACCAGACCAGGGCTGCGACCTGTTGCTCCGAGCATTCAGCTTCACTTGATCTCTAATCTCTCAAATCCCAGACCACCAACTCACTGGTAAGACAGCAGTCACCGCTACAATCTCGTTGACAGGGCCGCCCGTCAGGCCAGACACGAAGTCTTCCTTGAGCTGCTTGTAGCTGGCGGTCGAGTTAGACATCTTGAGAGCCCGCCGCGTCACAGAGTAACTGCAAGAGACAAGAAATCAGGAGGGAGTCTTAAAAAGGGGCATTGCGCGGCACAATTAGCCACCAACGACTTGTAAGGACAGGCTGGCATAAGTTGGTTGAGTCTCTTCAGCCTTTACGTGTGAGGGTCCCGAGGTAAAAGGGTTGTAGCTTCTCTGTCTGTATGTGTGTCTCGGATAGCCAGGAGCGAGCCAGCCTTGGCCAATGAGCGGGTGATACTGGAGGTACCAAGTGGGGAAGGCGTGCGACCCCCTGAACGACCTCCTACGGTAGCGGATTAAGATACGTCACCTCTCTTCCTTCATATGTATGCCCTCTTTCTTTCCTAGCATAAAACACATATCCTGTTACCATAGTAGCTTCGCTTCGCTCTCGGATTCAGCCGCGAGGAAATACGAAAGACACTTACTCAATGGGAGAGAACAAAGAGAAACAAGACATTCCAGTGGCAATGCTCGGGTATCGGGAGCTTCTGGTACAGGCTGCCGCATCGCCAAGACTGGCCGCTATCACGGGTCCTTTGTCCTCTTAGGGACACGGCGAAACGCATGTTCTTTGTTTTCAGATCCCTTAGAGACTCATGTCTTTGTTCTCAGACAAGAGCTCATGACGCTTGGCCACCAGCCCTCCGACGGAGAGAGAGAGAGAAAGAAAGAAAGAAAGAAAGTAGAGAGAAAAGGGAGGAAAAGGCCGTGAAAGACGCCGTACAAGACTGATCCTCATGGCGCGTCCCCCATCTTCCTTCGGGACTTTTGCCCTTCAAAGTTCCCCGGGTCTCCTGTGAGACGTCGTCGGTGCTGTTCTTCGATACTTCCATTGATATACTCAAATTCTTCAAGTTTGGACTTTTCTCACCTGTGTTGAGCGCCGTCGAGCCCCCTGTCATTATGATAATGGAGACACAAACGCGGAGTAGGCCCAACCTCGAAGTTAGGACGGACTATGTGGACGACTTTGATGAGATCCCAAAACCGGCCTTCCGAAATCATCACAGTGTCCTGCCCTCTATCAGCCCCCTGACAGAAAGGCCGTCGCCCAATCCTGTCCAACCCGCGACCCCTGGTTATGATGTTCTCATGAGACAGCATGAAAGGGCGGGGGTGGAAAGTTTCGAGGGTCGTGCCAGACAGGGCTCACTAGGAGGAGCCGGACGACCAGTCTGGATGCCAATGTCACCCATCGCGGAACAAAAGATGACAGAGAAAGTTGGGCTCATGAAGATGGAGAGTCCAAGGTAGGCACACAGACGTCCATGCCAGCTTTCACAACTAGTTTCTAACACGCGCGCAGCAAACCACAAGAACCCTTCCAGGGAACGCGGAGCCAGTCGATCGTGGCCGAGACCAGATCGATGCTGCTCTCGGGCATGCCAGCATCACAGGCAAATGACCTGGGCACGGTGAGCAATCGCAGAGTGTCCGTTGTAACAGCGATCTCGCCGAGGGGCCGGAGACAGAGCCTGGCCCTTCTCCAGCCGGACCTGCTGCAGGAGTTCGGCCACGTCTACCTCGGTGATCCAGCCAAGGCCGATGTCTTTGTGGCACCTACTTCACTGAGGCGCCGCAACAGCGGAAACGGGCAGTCAGACGGCATCGAGGGGAATCAGCTCGTGATCCAGGCGCGAGTCCGGCCCAAGACCAAGGACCGCAAACCTTTTGTCCTGACACGGAGTTTCGACCTCGACCAGCTCAGGACTACGATCCCCTCGACGCCCACGACGCCTTCGTCCTCTCGCCGCCAGTCGGTAGTCCAGCTGTCCTCTGAGGACCTGTCAAATCTGGCACGGACCCCGACGACTCCCCGGACTCCCCTGACACCGCTAGGCTCGGACCGGCGCCGGTCTAGCGCAACCGCATCCGGAAACCGGGTTGGTGATTACCAGTCGAAAAGAAGAAGTAGTAGCATCACCATCACCAAAGAGCTGCCAGTCCGTGAGTGTATTCTCTAAACACCTGCCCTGCTGTCCTCCTGTCTCTTTCCGAGCACACCAAAGTGCCCCGCTGATGTGATCGGTCTTTCTTGGTCTAGATCTCGCGTATGCACGCTCATACATGCCTGCGCTGGCAGCGCTGATGCTATCAGGCCACGTCAAGACCGGAGATTCCATCGACCTGCCGATGCCGCATCCCGAGGTCTGGCCCCAGACGCTGGCATACGTGTACACGGGCAGTGGAGAATTAAGCAAGGCAGTGGAACAGAATGTACTGCATCTGGGTGGCAGACTATAATGACACACATCATGGTAGTTGGTGGGAGAGCGTGTGGGTTTTCTTCCTGGGCAGAATGCACACTAACTGGCCATTCGTCGTGCGTTGTTATTGTCTTATGTCGTGTTTCCAGCTTTCTGGGCACGGTCCAGTTTTTCCCTCTTTTCTTTTCTTTTGTCCTTCTCAGAAGGCGCATCCAAGACGACCTGTTGTGTGAGCGTTGAGATTTTCGAGTCGCTCCAGGACGTGGTCATGAAGACAATAAACGACTGCAACGAGAAACATGGGATATGTGTTTAGGTCAGATCAGTAAGGCTATCAAGTCGATCAGCCTAGTTGTTTCTGGAATTTAGATGAATGATAATACCTGTCTCTGGGTGAGGAAAGAGTAGCTTTATGGGTGGGCCCTGACGCGTGACCACCGTACTTTCCTTTGGAACAATCTGCAAAACTGCCATCACAACGCGTCCGCTTTGCCCCAAATGGAATGAGCACTGCCAACAACAACATCAACGACGTCTCGAAAACGGTGTATGCCTGCAGGCACCCACGTTTGCCAGGGCCAAAGAGACTCACTACATATCACATTCATTCGCACCTATTGCCATGCCTGAATAACAAGCACAAGCTGGCCCCACCAACACAGTTAATGCACCAATGCGCCTCGTGTGGATGGTGAGAAGGAACCATCCGGATCAAGACAGCATCACAGGACCGGCGAGAGTCTATGATAATAGTGCGCCAGCATAGTGTTTCAGCTTTTGACCGCTGCAGATGTTTGCAACTGCAACCAGCGGTATTCTCCTTGCAACTGGCTGGTTCGTTCACATGTCAAGCTACGCTAGGATTCCACGTCCCGGGCGTCTGTGTATCCTCAACGGTCTAGAACTCCCCCGGCAAGACAACGTCCAGTACACAAGCCCGTTAGGACAGCCAGCTATCAACGTCAAAGTTGCTTCTGTGCTTGCTGGGTTGGTTAGGCGTCGTCAACAAGCAAACCTTATGCTTGCTTCTTCAGGACCTTGAGATCCACTTCGGGCAGCATCTCGCTCCCTTCTGTGCGACCTTAATTACAGTGAGTCAAGATGATCCGTAAGACCCACAAGGGTTGCCCTCATAAACCCTCGTCGAGCTCCTAGATTTGCAGCCATCCAATGTCTCAGAACGGTCATGATGTGCGCTGACCTCCACGACAGTCTCTTAGGCCTTTTTCTCTCGAGGCCCAACCGTGTCGTGTCTCTGTTGTCATCTCTTGGTAACAGCATGCTGCTGCCAGCGCCTGAGCATCAATCCCAAGAGAGCACCAATCATTGAAAGAACATTTTGTGTGAGGAAGAACCACAGGACTTCTGTTCTCCACAGCACTTACCACCATCGACATACACGAACTGTCTGCATCCTCTGGAAAGGCTCATCTCTGCCCACTATTAAGAAAGGCGGGACAAAGCGGGGAAAGAAGCTTGCCTCGTGGTCACAAACCCACGGCGATTGTCGATTATTCCAGAGCCCATCCTTTTCCGGTTGCGGACACATATCATTACTTTTCTCCAAAAAGCTGGACGGGGACAGGCTCTCTCAAGCAAAGGCAGGGCAGGGTTCAATCACTCTGGGCAGGACCGCGCGCCGTTGAATCGACTCGTCATTGCCCTGACCTTCTCCTCTCGTTGCGAAAAAAGAATAAGAAAAGGGCAGAGATCATGGTTGCACCTATCATTCTGCTGAATGGGTGGCCCGGCGTGGGCAAGGACACCGTAGCCGAAACTCTCAAGATACTCATCGGCGACGACAAGGCGAGCCTGGTCGACTGGGCCAAGTCAGAGAGTGAGAACTTTCTGCCGACTTTTGAAGACGACGTGGTCGCACAAAAGCAACGACGTGATGCATGCTTCGCGGAGCAAGTCGAGCACCCCACCACCCTGAAGAAGGTCGCCATCTGTACCGACTGCCTGCCGGACACTCCAGAGGGCAGGGCCATAGCTCAAGACTTCGAAACTGTCGCCAATAGAAGCAAGCGCATTTTGATTCCCATCTACCTGGAATGTCGCCTGGATGAGAACATGCGCAGAATTTCCAACTCGGAAAGAAGGGTCAGCCTCAAGGACAAGAGTAGGTCTTCCAGAATTTTTGTTTTCTCATCAAAGTATCCACCGAGATCTTTGACATGACAGCCGTACCCATGCGTTCTTACTCTTGCGCTATGAGAAATGAATGACTTCAAATATTGAGACTTACTTGCTGACATTCTTCACCCTCAGTCCGCAGCCCTAACGAGGCGCGCACGGTTAGGTCCGAGGGAGGCAAGCTCTTCATGTACGAGCAATATGAGGGCCTGACAATCAACACCACGACTATCCTACCTCACGAAGCCGCGCTGCAGATCCTGTCCTTCATGAGGGACTCGATCCTGCGTCGAGATGAGGCGCTGGTCAACGAAGAAACAACACCAATGGAGGCAAAGGAGCCCTTGTGGTTATGACCTCTGAGAATGGAACTGTCCGACCGTATTCAGTCTACTTCCTTCAGGACGATACCGAAAACTGCGTTGAATATATGGATTAGGGACGAGCGGCGTTACATGGCAGGCCGAGGACGCTTGGGAGGGCAGCCTTACAGAAATATGGACTTGATACCCATTTATCATTTGGTTTCGTAAAGGTAGTTGGGGCTCATTGATGCCTGATATCTTTCGAGAAGAATTTATGCGTGTTTCCAGTGCCACCATCAATCTGTTGTCAACTGCTTCATGCCTGGGCCTTTTGAACGACCTCCCATACATAGCCTACATCTCGATCAGTCAACAAGAATGCATATGTTTGCCTGGGTGGCCTCGTATGTAGATGCATAACATTCATGCTCCTCGGCGCAAGGTGTCTCCTCACGTCGTAGGCAGTAGGGCAGCACTGACCCTCTCGCAGTCTTGCGCCATCATCATCGCTGCTCCGTCTGCTTGATGCAGATCCCCTTGCCCTGTAGCGCTCGTACATGGTGTCTCGCTACACAGTCTTTCAACACCGCTAACGTGGACCGACTCGCATAAGTCCTGCAGAGAGGCTGGCAGCGCCGTTTCGACACCACATAGAAAACCCGACCCAAACTCGCCCATGTTCTTTTCTTCACCATTACGCTAGATGTCGGCAAGTCCGCTGTGGCAGTTTCCACGAGCGTTTGCATACGGCCGAACGTGTTGCTGTCTCGCCATTGGCTTGGGATCGTGTTTGCAAACCCTCACCTAACGTAGAGGCACTGGTATGGAGGGTGTCTTCCTTCCCAACCAAACGTCTGGTGGACAACCACGCTCTGTCATGATTAGAAGGAGAGCGACGGCTTTGAAACTTGTAGGGGTCATGAGGGAGGCCTGTTCATGGTGCTGGGTCTGTCGAGATGAGCTCGAGATAGCTCGTTTTGTTGGGGGCGAAGTTGGGGATTAGCATAAATTTTAAGCCTCATTTTCTGTAGGAAATGTCTGTTCTCTGCAGGGCTGCTGAATATTAAGTATTGTCTCCAAGTGTGTAAACCGCGTGCTCTCTCTCTCTCGCGCGGCGACAGACCTAGCCGAAGGTAGATATGAACTTACGTATAGACTCAACCCCCCCAACCCCCCCCCCCCAAAAAAAAAGAGGTGGTCAGCAACAAAAGGAGCACTTCGTCCTCCACACAAGATTCTTCCATGCGACCCATACATGCCCATATCGGTGGTCGGTTCACGAGAGAAGAGATTATACAATGCTGTACCTGCTGCATCCCCCAGCATAATATGAGGGCACTGCATTGTACAAACCTCAAAGACGCCGGCCACTCACGAACGAATGAGCCACCGGGAAAAGGGTGTGAGATGATTCGCCATTGATCCCCCCCCCCGGCCTTTCAAGCTGTTTTTCGTTGGAAGGCAGAGGTGCGTGTGGTGCTTCACACCATCATGAGAGTGAGGTGGCAGCCCTGGTCCGTTACAGACAATCTATCAGACCTGCTACATACAGAATGTATTTTGGGGCAGGGGGGTAGGGGGGGGAATTGGTCACCAAGGTGCTCTCCAGTTGGCTCGTCGTGCTCGCATTCGCTTGACGGGCACGGTACGGTCAGCTCTTGTCTCTTTGCAATTCTCTCTGGTGGGTAAACAACCATAAAAGTCGACGCTCTACTCAACAGAATGATTCCCCTTCTCTGCCCCCTCTGCAGCTCCAGGGCGGAACTGACCCGCACGCCTCTGGCGCAGTGCACACCCTATGTAGTATGGTATATCCCACAGGGACAGCCAGACTTTCTTGATGGTCCACTTCAGCCAGACTTCCTCCCTGGTCCACTTCCAAGATCTGCCTGTCCAGATGGCCTCCTCATGAGTGGGACCCCCACCGGTACAACGCAGTCACCAAACGTTGAAAAAGCTCGCGGAGGCCGGGTCCAGCTTCCGTCATGCAGGCCAAGCAAGTCTCTGTCCGTTTCAAGGAATGTTCACAGGCCTGGAAGCTGATTGCATGAAGCTTGCATGTTGACGTAAAAAGCCTTTGTTGCATCGACGGCCCCCCCCCCTCCCACCCCCATATATTCATTCTACCCGCATATTCCTACCGTGGTTGGCTGGGGCGTGGTGGGGGGGGGGGGTTTGGGGGCGTTGGTTTTGCGGGGCGACAAGTGTTATTCACAGCTCTCCATGAAGAGTACGACGCTCAACTCAGCTGGGATGCTTCCCTAATATGCAGTAGTATCATCCCCCAAGTACGGGCCCCCAAGAGCAGATCATCATTTGATTATTACATGTGCCTAAAGGAGAAAGACCGGCAATGCCACCTGCTGTGAAAGATATGTAATTATACCCCCGGGTTCTTTTCAAGGTGATATCGTATGGTTTAGGCCATGAGGATGAGGAGCAGGTCAAGCGCTCCACTGCATGCTGGTTATCATTGAGCCTCGCTCCCCGGCCCCTCAATCGGCTACAGTTGCCAGGCTGTCTGTTGTATGGACACGTCGCATTGAAGCAACTACTATGTAGACACAGCACGACATTTCTCAGCCAGAAAAATCACGGGACGAGTGGAGCAAGTGGCCTTGTCGATTAGTGCTCCAGGCCCTCGCTTGTTGACTATGTAGTACTCTCTCGTCAGCCCTCTCTCGTCGTTTGTATGTATGTATGTATGTATGTCTGTCTGTCTGTCTGTCTGCCTGCCTGCCTGCCTATCTGTTCCTGGCCTTGAGAGTACATAAAAGATATTGTGGTCGAGAGACGTCCGTTGTCGAAGTGATCAGCAACGACGATCTCGCCAAGCTTGGTTAAGAAGGGCGTTTCGGCCCGGCTGGACGGACGGCCGCCTCTCAAGTTGACGGGAACAAGTCGGGGATTTTCTTCATGGAGGCCGTCCCGGGGCGCCGTCACCGTGGTCGGCTCTGGTTGGAAGACCTTGGAGGACAGGTTGAGGTCAGATTACACTCCGATCGTCTCCAAGGGAAGATGTGTACCATCTACTAGGTAAGTATCCAGCTGCTGCTTCTTCGGACAAGTGTGTCCGCAAGCGAACAGAAGATGACCAGTCCCTAATCCAAACAAACCCTACAAATCGACAAGCGGACATTTGTACACGTACATTACCCGCCGGTGGATAAGGAAGAGGGCCCTTAGTCTCAATCGGGTCATTTTCGCACAAACTCGATGGTGCATGATAATGATGATGATGATGATGATGATGATGATGATGGAGAAAGGATAGCATCGGCCAGCACAAGATGGGGCCAGCCCACTTGGCCAAACTGCTCGCCGCAACGGCGCGCGGGGTTGATGATGGAGATTAGGTCCCTCACGATCTTGGGATACTTGTTGAACTGATGATTTCTCGTCAGATGGCCCGCTCTTTCTCCTCGAGCCCTCGTCCCCGTTGAAGTTGGCGTGGTGGGTCATGTGTGTACAAAGTACACGTATTGTACTATATAGTACACGTAGCAGCACTATACTATGTAGTACATGGTAGTCATGTCAGATCCGCTCTTGACGGCGCACTGACTATAGCATCGCAACAAGACAAGGCCCAGGGCTTTTCAGAACACTCCCCACATCTGCCAGCTGGGATGGCACGGTGCGAGCAACGGCACCGATCTCTGCAGATCTTCGCGCTGGGAGGGGCCAGTTCTGCAAGACTGAATGGAGCCCGCGGGCGATCGTTGTGCACCGGATCGTGAGGTGGACCTCGCTTGCTTCCCTCACGGACAGCTTCCTGGCCAGCCTAGTACCATAGCCATAGCATAGCCAGCACGCGCCGGAAATGAACATCTCTCATCGGGACCGGGCGTGAAGATCTAAATAACCTCAGGTCCGCCAGCTACCAGATTTAATCGTCTGGGCACATGCAGAATACGAGACTGGCGTTGGAAGATCGAGCAGCCAGCAGTAGCATCAGCACCAGCACCAGCACCAACCAGCAACAAGCAGGGCGTGCTGTACTGGTGCTGCTGCTGCTGCTGCTGCTGTACATAGTCCTGGGCAGGCGGGGCAGGCTTTTTTTTTTTTTTTTTTTTTTTTTTTTGCCGGACCAGGAATTTGCATCGCAGCATCGTCGTTCATCACATCATCGCGGCTGAACAGAGTGGCCGCATGACTCGATGCTGACGGAGAGCTCGGTTGCAAGCCCCCAGGGCTACCCCAGAGCAAGCCACAGGAAGAGGTAGCATTGGGATCTCAGCAGAGTAGTCTCTTCGTCTGGGGTTCACAGGCTGACAGGGTATTCCTGGTGAGCTTGAGATCGCCGAGCACGGCGCCTATCTCTGTAGCTCGGCACGGGTTCCTCATTGTGGGGAGAGGGGGAGGGTTCTTTTGTTGGAGCTCTGGCTCGAGAGATCTGATTACCATGGTACCAACTCTAAGTCGTGATGATTTCGGAGGAGTACCATAGTAGGAACACGACAATGCCCTAGTGTTAGCTCTTTCAGGGTCCCTCGACGAAAGAGTAGGAGGAGGGGGACGGGGGCACGAGAGCAAGGCGCAAGGCTGGCCAACGGCGACCCGCTCTGTGTCGTGAGTGGTGGAACAGAGCACTGCGTGACTTTCAGTTCATGTGGCCACCCGAGACATTTGAATCCTTCCGGTTGCCCCGGTGCATGTCAGCAGCACGAGGTCAGAAATCGAAAAAAAGAGGAAGGGGAAAAAAGATGGAGATGGAGTTAGGGATGACGATAGTGTTGATGATGGTGCTGATAGTTGCTGATAGAGGAGGAGGAGGAGGAGGAGGAGGAGGATGATGCCGATGGTGAGAGGGGAACGAGACTAGCAGGGTCGACGGGTCCCTCAAATCCTTCTGCTGTCAGAGCTTAGGCGGGCGATCCTTGTGAGAGACTGAAGCAGCTGCTGGCATAGGCCAGCCACCAACGCACCTGCCAATGTACTTTGTACTATGGTACATACTTCCTGTAGTGCCTTCTTGCTTTGTACCTACCTACTATGCGTATCATAGTAGTAGTCATTGTTTTTCCTAGCACTAGTCAGAGTGTGTGCTCGCAGAGATTACGGGAAATGACGATGCCTTCTCCTCATTTGGATATGATACATAACTTTTTCCCCCCAACAAGGCAAGGTCGGCTCGGCTTGGGAGGCGCAGAATCATGCACCATTAACGGCAGCACCATCTAAATACGGCTCGAGACTGCATTCGAGTCGACGCAGGTCCATGGCAAACAGGTTAAGCGCGGGAGGGCTAATGATGCAGAGCTCACCCAGAGTGTGATCGAATGTGGGGAT